GTCATGGCTTTACGTGCGTGACAAAACGCATGACTCATAATCAGTTTAAGTGAAGTTTTTTTGTTACAGAACGAGCGAAGTTTCGTATCATTCTACTTATTGAAGGTGGTCTTGGTGGGATTCGTTTGGACTCCCGCGATGGTCATCGCCGTTTGGCAGAAGTACTACGGCTACTACGACCCTACCTTCAATTACTACACGGACCCCAACTTTCGGGTGAGGAAATGTTTTTTATTTTCAAAAGGTTCCATTGCCGACGAAATTATTCCATATACACTTAGACAAATATAAGAAATGTTTGCCCGATTAAAAGAAATATTGATCAAATAATCGATACATACAAAAAAAACTATATATTTAATAGTTTACTTTGTGCTTATGCAAGAAATAAAAAGGTTTTTTATTATTATTTAATTAATAGATACATAGACATTGACAAAAAATAAATTTACAGAAAGAAGAAACCTTACGCGCAAGCAAGATTTAGGTCCATTCTAAAACGTATCTTAAGTCACAATTTTGTCTTGAGCGCTAGCAAATGTCAAAAAAATACAGAAAGAATGGTTTGACAACTCATTTTTTACGCTTATTATACGAAATTGTTATTCAAACCTACACGGTGTAATGCCTATGCCTTTCTTGAGAAAAGAAAAAAGAAGATTCACGTCCCATAGCTTTTTATTATTATTATTATAATTTTATATATTACTAGCTGACCCGGCAAACGTTTGTATTGCGATGTATATTATTTCTAGGAAACATTTTTTAGTTCAATAAAAATAACTATCTACAATAATAAAAAAAATCGTGCGTGTAGTTATGTAGGGAAAGTTATAAAAATCAATAAATATTTAGCGTTAATAATTTAACAATTTTTAATATTTAGTATATTATTCAATTATTAATTAATATTAATAATAATTATTATTTATTATTTTATTATATTATTAATTCAATTTAATAACTAGGTATGTTTCATAACCTTTTAACTAAGTAACAACAGGTCTTTGTGAAAAAGCAATGCTAAATTTCTTGAAAAAATAATTAAAACTCCTTTATTTGTTCAAAAGGCTACAAATGTCATTATGGTCATTCAAAATTCTTGGCATAGCTGCTAACGTCACGCATATTCTATTTCTTTTTACTTGTAGATTGTCTTATTCCCATCTCGCTCGCGCACGCTCGGCGCCCATACTGATAATTTTGTGTCACGGTGCGCGCGCATCGTAAAATTTCACTCTCATAAATTTTTAATAACGCGCCTAAAGAAGTATAACTTCAAAAATACGGGTTGATCGTAGAGGGGTGACAATTAAGGGTTGTATGTGTTTTTGTATGCTGTATCATAAAAAAATAAAACAAAAATTTAGGGTGGACATCCCTTATCACTTAGGGGTTCGAAAGATAAATATTAGCCGATTCTCAGACTTACTGAATAAGCATAAAAAATTCATAAGAATCGGTCGAGCCGTTTCGGAGGAGTATGGGAACGAACATTGTGACACGAGAATTTTATATATTAGATAAAGAAAAGAGCGTACCAATTCTTAAAAGCAATTTCTTCTGGCAATAATAATCGCAACCGCGACGGGTGCGTAGTCGCACAAAACTCCGGTCTCGTGAGTTTTTAAAATATAATTGCATTCCGCCACCGCGGCGGGCGCGGTTGAAAATCGCTTCGTGATCTCGCTTCTACCTTAGCCTTAGTGGGCATCGATCGAATCGAATCAACGGTTAATTGACTCGATCAGAAAATTTCCTGATTCTGCATCCTATCCATGTGAATGAGTAGCCTAATTATTAGGTTACCAATAAAAAAATGGCCAACAGATGGCGTTAATTCACAATGTAATATTAAATTACTTTCAGGTGGCGAAAATATTATTCTTCAGTGCTGTCGCGCTTTACTTTCTGTACCTGCTTATACTTGTTGTTAAGGCTTATAGCGATTTAAGGAATATGCCCTTTTTTGGTAAGAAAATTATTTTATTTGAGGGTAGATTTTAATATACGTTAAATATTTATGAAATTCAGATTTCAAAATACGAAAAAACAAAATGGCACTTGGTATTCAAGATGTGTTTAGACGTTAAAATCACAATTTAATAGATTATAAATATATCTCAAACATTCTATTATTTTCTTTATTCTAACATGGTGGATCCATGCGATTTCTTCAATACAAAGAGAACCCTCGTGAATAGTGTTCTATATAGCTACTCGATTCTGAGGAAGTTTTTAAAAGGCCGGCAACGCTCTCGCGAGCCTCTTGCTCGTTTGCCCCATGTTAGTAGCACTGCTCCTTCTTAAGTTCTAATGTTATTTTCACACATGTATATCTTTTCTATAAAATATTTCCATAAGCATCTGATTGTCCTCGTTTTAGCATGTGATGATTGAGAGCAAAAATAAAATAAAATTCTAGTTTTTACAATATTCCAGACGAATGTTAGTATTCATAAATCAAGTTTGCCCATAAACAATATTTTTGACAACACTCAAGATATTAATTTTTTTTTTCAGATATAAGATTGCGTTGTCTATCCATAATCGTAGTGTCGGTTTTATCAATAACAACTATTTTGGCTTTACATTCGTGGGGTCCGGCCGCACTACAAGACTACTGGGCCTCACAGCCAAAGGTCCATTTTGACACTTCGGCGCCTTTTATGGCTATGTATGGCCTATTTAATTTTAAATTGTATACTTTGGCCTATTTATTCTCGCCTGGCAGTGGATCTTTACATGGTAAGGATTCTTGCGTTTATCCATCTTCCAAATTATTGTTTCCCTGGAAATCAAACCTGGGGTCTGTGGTTTAAATGTATTAAACAATGGTGATAACAACTTAGTTACTGTTTATTAAAAATTTAAGTGTAAGGTACTAGATTCAAAATTTCCGTCCCGAAGGACCAAAATCAAACATACTTTTATTACTTAATAAATTAATAAAACACTAGAATTTACAATTTATCGATTTAATATCAGATTAATATACAACTGTACAGATTTTAAAATAAAACATTTATTATTACATTTCTGTCAGTCAAAATTATTTATTTTTAAGTCATAATTTGGTTATTTACAGAAACAGCGATAACCAAAGACAATCCAGCTTTTTCTATGATCAATGACTCGGATGAAGACGTCATCTATGGCTCAGACGAGGAAAGCCGCCGACCTCTCAACTCACATTCCAGAGCAAACACAGATAACATAATATGATGCGATATATTTTGATCCTCAACTGTTTTATTCTTCCTCTTGTTATATTATAGACCATTTAGAACACATTTGTTTTCTTTCACGTTCCAATTTTAAAAGGTTCAATTCGTTGTATGACATTAAGTTTTTTAATAACTCCACAGATTATTATTACAGTTATATTGGTTTATCTTTTTATCCTTTAACCAAGTTAAAATTTCAAGTTTACTTTTTGTATCACTATTAATTTACTTAGCGAGGGTTTTATGGTGTATTTGTAAAAATCTATACTGATCTTATACTGAAGAGATTGTTGGAATCTCAGAATTGTTTCGAATTGAAATTGAAAAATTTAATGCCCATAGAGCAACGGCTGGATTAAATCTTTAGCTTGATATACTTTTAAATTCTTTATCTAATTTAAATAGTTATTTTTCTCAAAATATAGAAATTAGCATAAAGCGTAATTTCTCTCGGTACCGACAGAACGTATTTCCGGTCAATTGTATGGTTGGAAGACTGAGATTAGGTATATAGTACGCAGACTTCATAAACAAAAAATTGCACATAATTAACAATAAATTAAAGCGATAAATATGACAGCAATGCAAGTTAACATTTTTACGTACGGGAGTCGAACAAAGGGTAAGATTCATAAAAGACTTGGCACTCCATACAGAAGTTATAGTTTGTCTAAGTCTCTGAGTCTTACTGTTAGTGATAATCTTGCAAACTGAAGCGCATTGTGAGGAAGACATTTTGTGCAAGAGCTATACGTAAAACATTTGGCCACGGCGTAAGTTGTGATAGAAACTCCAAACAAATAAAAAAAGATCACGCACATATTGATTTCACAGCATCGTGTACAATGACGATAAAAATTACATATGGGATTTTATTACTCGTCAGAATTTACGACAAAGAAATGAAATTTGATCAATTAAATACACATTTATTGATAGCATTGAGTCAACTAATTGAAACTTCGAAAGAAATGCTTTAAGGAACTTATTCTTGGAGTTAAATTATAGCTAAATATCACAATATAAAAATGATAAGACAGAGGTCGCCGTGTTTGCTACAGGCATTGTTAACATTCTTAAATCGGATCATCCAAATCAAATATAGGATTTTTGTACAAAAATGATCTTATCTCTAAGAATACTGATCTCATTTTTGCATTACTTTTGTAATAACAATATGGGAATCTTACGCTAAAAATTTGTTGTTCATCAAAAAATCAAAAACTCTTAGTCACACAAAACAAACAAAAATGCTTGAAAATTGCATATTGTTATGTTCAATTGAATTGCATTATTATACATTAAGGGTAGGATTCAGACACGTGACTAACTCCCGCATATCAAAATACATTTTTTAGGTACGGAAGTCAGACTTAGCGCTATGAAACAAAGAAATTCATCTGAATCTTACCCTGAGAATAGTGACTACTTACACTACAATAAAAACAGCATTAAAATAAAAACAGTAAATTAAATTGTTGAGTAAATCATTCATGTCATGTATACAAATATTTTAACTAAGTATCAATTTAAAAGTAAAATGCACTATTTTACATTGTATTTGTAAAATTAAAACATATTTAAAACTATGATTTGACCATATTGAATAAAAGCCGACGGCCATTTCGTGCAACAAAGCGACCGCCATTTTGAACTGACAGAAATGTTGCCATAATAAAAACGACATTTCAGAAACAAAACATGTGAGAACACTTTTTTCATTAATAATTTACAATAAATATTAAATCAGCATGACTAAATTAAATAATGTATTTAATCTATAGCTATAGTCTGTAAATTGTTCAAAGAATGTGTAATAAGAATGACGGGGTGGGGTTGTAAAATGAGAGAGGAGATAGGTTTCTCTCGAGCACCACAGGGCTCAGCGGGAATAGCATTAGGTGTGGCAGCTGTACGTCTTAGGACAGCCCCACCTCGAATAACACAAGTGGTTCCCGCACGGGGGTCACAGTTCTCATTTACACTAGATTCTTCATCATCTGAACATAGATCAATAACTTCACACTCATTGCCTGTTTTATTTAAAGGATCACTACCTTTAACATCCACATGCATAGGTTCCACTACAGGCTCTACAAACACAACATCTTTGTCTTCACACTGCCTGTTCAGTGCTTCTTGTTTGAGATTATCTATGTACTCCTGAATCTTTTCCAGACCCATTCTTTCTATATTTACAGTAATGGGTCTACAGGTTAAAACCAACAACTGCCCTTTTAAATCAAGTATTTTCTTATACCGCTGATTTGGGAACACATGTTTTCGATGCCAATAATCTATTGGTCTTTTGTATCTAACTGGAAATGTTTGATTTCTTCCTTTACTAGCTACATTTTTACTAATTGTTGATGTACAGCAATACCTTTCTGTTCTTTCTCGAGAATAACTGGTATCCCTATTTACATTAATTTTTGCATTTTTCATATATGCTAATGATGAAAAAGGATATGGATGACCCCTCTCAACATTTGCAGTACTGCGGGAGTGTCTTGGCTTAGTACCAAGCAAACAGTTTTCAGGGGTTTTATCATTATTTTGAGTGTCTTCTTGTGCAGGCTTAAGTTTTAATGCTGAGAGAAACTCTTCTAAGGTCCCTGTACAAGAACCTGATTGGAAGTTCTTGTTGTTACAAAGTCTCTCATGGGCTTTCAGAACCTCTATATTGTCAAAGTGACTATCACAAGTATCACATAAATAAATCTCAGCTGGTTTATCATACAATACATTCTCATTACGAAATGTCACCAGTAGACGGCCAGACGGTGCATGGTAAAGCGATGTCGTATGGTCGTTGTTGTCGACATAGGTGAGAATGTTTCGAGGATATCGTGCCAAATGAGCAGAGAACCCTAACAAAAACGAACTGTCGTGATACTCATAACATCTTTTCACTAAATTTTTTAATCGCGACAGCCAGTCATGCGGCACTTTCCAAGGTTTTACGAAGGGGTGCGAGAAAGCAACGTTTCTCGGCCACCAAGGCGGCTGCCGGATATCTTTCGCAGTATCATGACCCCAAGAACATGTTACCATAAATGTTATGAACTTCTCTAAATCAGCAGATGTGATTTTAGAGAGATCTGTTGGGTTACCGTTCGCAAAAAGCAGCGGCAAGTTGGCGATCATGATTGCTGTCGCTTATGGTCATCATCGTCGTCGAGACATAGTCGCTATGATTTTCGCACTGGGTAATCGAATAACGGTAGGTTCACACTTCATTATTGGCATCGAGACAAAGCACTCACTTAGTTATAGTTTTAATTTAGTATAATCACAGTGGCAAGCTTTAAATAATCAAAACTGAGAACTTGTTTCGCTCTCAAAATAATTAAAAAATTAACAAGCAAGCGCGATTATCAACTAAAAAGAGAAAGAACCATCGGTTACAGCCGTCAACTACAGGCTACAGCACACAGCACAGAGGCTTGGCTAATGCCTAGATGATACCGATTACCGATTACCGATAGAGTCTTCTTAGTTTGTAGGTTATAATCTATGGTGACAGCGTAGATGTATTAAAATATTTATAGTTTATACTAATAGTTCTAAACATCTACATGGATATTCATTATTAACAAGCGATAGTTTCATTGTATAATTAGTGACTATAACTTTCAATATACTTAATTGTGTTGTATCCAAGTTAGACAATTTCAGCAAGTCTTGTGTATTACCTATCTTGTCAATACCTATTTTATTATTTATATGTCTATGACAGTTGACAGCTAATGATAAATTTTATGTTGCATGCAGCCTTCAAACAGGCTTGGCAAGTCGCAACTCGCAACTCGCAAGGGAGCTGGGAATTTGGAATTCCATCTGCTGTCTGCTTTTAAACTTTTAAATTTCTTCTGTCGTGATTATATCAGTATAACTATTAGAGCTTAAACGCTATTGTTACCCATTATTAAAAAAAACAAATAATATGATAAACCACTAACTCAAGATTTAATATTTTGGGGCTATTAGATCTTTATTATGGTAAGCAATACAAAACAAGTTGGTGTTTTTTGTTACTTAAACGTGTATTAAATAATGAATATGAATTCTAGGCAACAAACAGTAATAACAGCTCACCTGGACACTCTCCTACCTCTACAACTTTAGAAGCAGTTGACTATAAGTAAGTTTGTTCTTTCCTTCGTTTCTTAATTAAACTTTACTAAATTCTTTGTGACAAAGTCCCAGTAATAAAACAATTGTCAAAATCAGTATAAATAAGTTAAATTGTTATTATATTAATAGTAATGTATGAAATAATAATTCATGTCACCAATTATAAGGAATATATTTCCAGGGGTAAATCTATTTATCCATAATATTAATCATTTATTTAAAACATTTTTTCCCATTTTAGCTTACAGTTTCCAACATGGTCAATGGAGTATTTAAAAAAAGCAGCAATGCAACAAAGGCTAGTGAGACCTCGCAGTCTTGCCTGGGCAATAATGCTTAATGCTATTCCACCTCCTTCTGGTGATATTTTATTAAGGTAACATTTCTTAGTGGATTTTTAAATAATTTATGATAGCCATGTGAAAATATAAAAATATTGCTTTTGTATTAAATTCAAATTTAAGTTGTTCAACAAAGGTTGATATGTTACAGCAATATCAATGAAAATATTGTAACTGTTTATAATTTGAATAATAATTTATAAAATAAACCCAGCTTTTAGACTTGGAGACAATTCATACATAATTATAAACACAAAAAAATTATATTGTGTACATTTCTGGTTTTATGTGGTTAGTGTTTTATTGAAATTTAACACTGATCACAAATATAGATTTAAAAGTAAACAACTTCAAATAAATTTTTAATTACAATAAAATCCAGCTGTGGAAATATGTATGTATTTATAAATTTATACAAATATAACATACAATAAATGTTCTTATTTCTTGGCAAATAATTTGAAGAAAAATTTTACCACTAATATATCACTAAGGTACCTTAAATGTATAAACTTAACTTTGCTGTAGCCATAAATTTTTAGTATATATGTCACCATAAAATTGTAAACACCGTTAGATTTTCTCAATGCACTGCTTACAATTTAACATATTATTATTTGGTAGATTGTAATCTATCAAAGTGAAACCGTCAAATTACAATCTTAAAATTGTCAAATTGTTAACTGTCCAAAAGCTGTCCATGATTGGTCGGCTTTATAGTAGACCGTTCTATGTCCATAGAGTTAGGAATGAAACACGGGTATCAGTCAAATAAACTGAATGCACTTCAAGAATTGTGACATCAAGTATTTATTCATTACTTAGTAGGTAATATCACACTCTTAGCAGCCATGTCTTCAGAGTATTATTTAAAATAGATTTATCTCATTACAGCATACGCGGCCACAGAAATTTCTACAATGACCTTGGAAATAAACTTTCGATGGACCCTCGTGCTGTTATTGGAGATGATCCCCTGTCACAAAATGATGAGGTAAGAATCTAATTGAATTCTTTTGTGTGGCCATATATATTTATCATCTAAACCAAGCAATTAATTAAACAACAACATCAAACATCTCAATTGTCATGTGTCAAAAATCATTTATTTATATAGGTAACACAGTGTACACTTATGAATGTCAAAAAAGATATATACATTAAATGCTTTTAATTTTACATTTAACTGCCAGTTCTCAAATCAAGGGCGTATAATGGAAGAGAAGAACTGGCAATAAACTCTCCGCCACTCTTTTTAATCACCAATCGCCAGTCAACTTCCCACATGCAGGCTATACTCAAAAGTAATTAAATTATAATCTTTACAAAAAAAGAAAATAGTATAAAATAAACATATAAACTAAATGTAAATATTAAGTAATATGCTACTTGAAAATATCTGATATAATATTTCACTATGAATAGAATATATTTTGTCTGTTATCAGGTATCTATTTTTAAGCTGGAATGGAAAAAAAATGGACCTTACCATTGAATTACCTTTATTATATCTTTACAATGATTATAAATGGACTAACCTTTAGCTCATATAAATTTTATTTTCTTGTATACATATTATATAAAATCAATGATTTGAGATGTTTTTTAGAGTACTAGGCACATTTACTCAGGACTGGTGCCTGTAATATGTAACTACTTTATTTGTTCTCTGTTGTTCAACGTACTCTTGGTTGCCACCCAAACATATATATATATATATGATGTAATAAAACACTTTTATTCATATTTTACATTATAATTAAGGCCATATTTTATTTTCTAGAGTGCATGGAAGCAGCACTTTTGCGATAATGAATTAAAGGCTTTAATATTACAAGATGTGGTGCGGACATTTCCGGATGAAACATACTTTAGAGATAAAGAAGTCCAAGACACAATGGTTAGTTCACTTGGCTTTTTATTACTTAAAAATTTAATTTCCTCAAATGTAGTACTTTGTATGTGCCACAATGACATTTTATACCTAATTTCAGTTATATGTAGACTAGTGTGGTACGAGTTATTTGAGAATACTGTAAAATAATATATCGGATTATCGGCCAATTTAAAAACTGGTAGCTTTTTGAAAGTTCTTACAACACAATAAAAACTTGTTCTGCAAACAAATACTTTTTATTTTTTATTAATATGATAATTTTTTAAGGTTCGAGTGTTATTTTTCTGGTCTCGCGCTCATCCCAGCCCAGGATACAGGCAAGGAATGCACGAAGTTCTGGCACCTTTGCTCTTTGAACTATATTGTGACAGGCAACAAGCTAAACAGCATACTTTGAGGTAAAATTAACCCACACATATATGTATATTTAGAAATTTGATTTGTATTTGTAATTTTTTTTTTGTGATTGCTATTGTTAAATTTGTGATGTCATATTTTCTTGTATATTAAGCATACATGTTGTTTTAGGATTTATAAATAAATAAGAAAAAATAAGTAGTTGTTCAGTTTTTTAGAAAAAAAAACGTGTGGCAATCCAAACCACATATATGTATATTTAGAAATTTGATTTGTATTTGTAATTTTTTTTTGTGATTGCTATTGTTAAATTTGTGATGTCATATTTTCTTGTATATTAAGCATACATGTTGTTTTAGGATTTATAAATAAATAAGAAAAAATAAGTAGTTGTTCAGTTTTTTAGAAAAAAAAACGTGTGGCAATCGGGGACTGCCGCGGTAAAGCTATTGCATAGGATTTTTTATCAAGTTATGCAGTTATAACTATTTATTTATGCAGTATTTGTTTTTCTTTGTTATTAATTCAAGTTTTTTCTTTGATATTATTTCAATCTACCACTCTACCAGACCCAGACTAAAACGCCTATATAGTCTGTCTCACTCTAACGTGTACCGGCTGCACCGGCCGCGCTCACTCCACGTCACCGATCTCGTCAGAGAGATGGGAATGCGCAGTATGTGTTCTGTCCCACTCTAACGCGTATTTGCCGCACCTATATTACGTCATCGTGTGTAAGGTTTTTTCGTTACGGAATTTCTAGATAACTTCCTCCTTCAGTTTTCGTTGACTCCAGTACATCTTAGAACCTCGGATGTGCACCAATGGTGTTCTGTTTCTAAGGGAAAACATTGTGAGGAAACCGGCCAAAGATTATTATGATTTATGTGCACTTTTTACTTTTTATTATTATTCTTTTTCATGTATCCATTATTAGTTTAGTTTCTTTTTTTTTCTTAATAACTATATGTATTTTTGCACTTTGCCTACCTTACTAATTTAATACTTTTTTTTTCTTTTCTCACAGTGGTTGCCTGGAACAGATCGCTCGAAAGCGATAAGCTCCAAAATCTTATAGTGTTTATCTTAAAAATGTAACAAATTTAATTTTGTTTTTAGTCACACACTGCTGAATTATTTAGAAGAAGAGTACCTTGAACATGATAGCTAGTGAGTATTGTATAATTGTTTAAATTGTAAAACTCTAATTTTATCCATTTATAAAACAAGAAACATACAATTAATATATTTTCTTATCTAAAACTCTGTCTTATTTATAAAATATATAACTTTTCTTAATTGCAGTATGCTATTCAGTGCTGTGATGAAAGGGTTAGAGCAATTCTACAGCACGGGAGATGTTATTCCATCGTCATGTGGCCGACTGCCTCTATCTAGGTCACTACATGTATGTATAAAGATGATATTTCAGGCTGAACTTATTATAATCAATATGTTTTTACGAGACTACGAACAACTATTAATTATAACTTGCACATTCACCTTAAGACTAAAAAATATATTCGCCATTTCATGAGAATACAAGAAACCCTTGAGAGCCTCGGCTTACTTTTATAAAGTAAGCCTGTTTATTAACTGACAAAATATCCTCAAAAATGCAAAAATAATATAGTTCGGCTCGAAGGACCTTTTATGGAAATACTATTTTTGATTATGTTAAGTTTTATTAGTTATATGGTCTAAGTGTACACATACGTTTATACAGATTTAGGGCGACGGTATCACTTATCAGATCAGCCTCCTGCCCGTTTGCCTCCTATTACATAAAAAACTCGTATATCGAGGTATCACTGTATATAGTAAGTGCTCTTTATATTTTGTATTTTGTTGTGCGACTACTATAGTTTCTTTAGAAAGTTTCTCAAACACATTTTAGAATCAAAACGAAGCGGTAAGATATTTGGAACGTGTGCGAGAGGAATATTTGACGTCCGCGGACCCGGAGCTCGCGAAACACCTCATGGAATGCAATATATCTATGGAACTGTTTGGCATGTGAGTTATTTCGATTCGTGTGACATCTACTTTTATTGGAAATAATATTGTATGTACGTAAATGATATTTGTTGTATAATACTGTTACGAACTACCTAGTTTCCTGAAAAGTGTACCACTCGACTACACTTGTACTGTCAAACAATTTTGTAAAAAAAAAAAAAAAAAAAAAAAAAAAAAAAAAAAAAAAAAAAAAAATTGGAACAGACTTGGATCATTGTTTTGAAACTGCCTGAAAACAATCTGTTTCAAAGTTTCAGACAATAGTCCATGGTCTTCACATAATCTTGTTAGTTATGTCTGGACTTTAAAAGAGCTGTGACCTTGAGTTTGTTTCGGCGTTCTTCTAGAGAGTAGAAGGAAACGTCTCTATAGTTTTAAAAAAAATGTTTGACGTGTAAAAGTGTTTGTAAAACCTACTTACAGAAATAACATTTGCTGAAAATGGTTCAGTCTCCTGAAAAATTTTCAGCCTCCTAAATACTAGGGTAACATTCTGTAATTTACAATTTTCTAATATGTGATTAATCTCTCCTGGATCGGCCAGAAATCACATTTCAGCTTGCTGAAAAGTTCTCTAAGTCGTGGAAAAATCTAGAAACGTGGCAGTCGACCCGTCTTCGTAACAATACAAGTTTTTTATCGACAAATCTGGCCAACACTCGGCACACTTATACGTTGGTAAAATAACCACAATATACTATTTTTTAATTGACAAGCATGTATAGGCAAACACGACACACGAAGAGATAACATAAATAATTAACAAACCAATTATTAAACCATTATTACCAATGACTACAACCTTTTATGTCTGGGCTTCAGATTTCTGTTCTGTTCCGTGATTATTTCTTATAGTCAAGTAAATGATCAGTCTTTTGTATGATACATATCGTCGGTATATGGATTTACGACATTTTCCTTCACCGAGCGAGTATTAGATAAGCGCATAGACAGAAAGTCCATTGGTACACAACCGTCGTCACAAGCTTAAGCCCAAGTTTGTGGGGTTCGCGCCTTTGTCCCCCGGCCGCCATCTTGGAAAAAGGGGTGAAAACACATTTTTGCCTATATCTCCTAAACTATCCCATCGTACAAAAAAATTGTAAATACATATTTTGTAGCAAATCGCTTTGCCTACAATTATGTCTGTGTGACTTTTTATCATAAATTAAAATTCAAAAAGTTAATATAAAAAATTTCCAATGTAGGCATGTTCCTCACTGAAGTGTTTTGAAACAAAAGAATGTGTTTTTTCAGTCGTTGGCTTCGGCTCCTCTTCGGTCGCGAGTTTCCTCGCACGGAAATACCTAATTTGTGGAGTTTTATATTCTCTGACGGGCCGATGTTACCCAATTTGCACCATATCGTTGTCGCTATGCTCATGTCGATACGGACCGCTTGTGAGTGATTTTAATTGTTTTATTATACTTATCAGAAACTTACGCTGTTTATTTTTTAAAGTTCAAACAACAACACACATAATTTATTCGTATAGGTAGTTATGTATTTATGAACGTAAATATTGTTAAAAGTGGGTGGATTAGGTTAGGTTATATCATAGAACGGCCGTGAAGAACTGGCAAGAAACTTTTCGCCATTCTATAATTTAAATGATATCATAGATAATAGTTTTTACATAAAATAGGTTCACTTGAAGTTCCGTAATGTTAATTGACTTAAAGACAAAATACTAACTATTGAACAAAATATTTATTTAAAATTGTTCCGGGTCAGTTTAAGTGCGCCATTGTTACTAAAGTCTTCAAACTCATAATCACAGCGTTAATACACACACAAGAATACTTATACTTAAAATCAGTGGCGCTACAACCTCTTTAGCTCTTGGCCTCAGATTTCTGAATCTGTTTCATGATCATTTTTAAATCTAATAGGCAAGTAGGTGATCAGCCTCCAGTGCCTGAGACACGCCGTCGACTTTTTGGGTCTAAGACATGTCGGTTTCCTCATGATGTTTTCCTTCACCGTTCGAGCAAATGTTAAATGCGCACATAGAAAGAAAGTCCATTAGTGCACAGCCGGGGATCGAACTTACGACCTCAGGTATGAGATTCACATGCTGAAGCCACTAAGCCAACACTGCTCTTTTTCACAATTATCTATACACGTCAATCAATACTACTAAAGAAACAGGTACGTTCAATACTTGTAAATACTTTTAGTACTAGAATGCGACACGGGCGGTGCGTTGTCTCTGCTGATGCGTCCGTCGAGCGCGTCCGCTGGACACGTTTGTGCTCTGAGTCTCCATTTGCGAGATCCCGTGAGATATCCCTCTCCACCTGCTCAACTCAATAATAGGTGAAGAGTTTTATATATATATATTTATATACATTAATTTATTTTTACTTAACAATTTTTAATTTTTAGCTTAAAAGCTTATCTTACACATTTGTCTGATGTGATGCAGATATGTCAGTTTGACACATGACATTTATCATTTGGCACTTGACAGATAAGACAGGTAAAAATAGCCACGTGACTGTATGGCTTCAAAATGGCTAGAAAGTCAATCAAACTTATCTAGTTTCATGAGCTGTCAATTAGTTTTTTCGTTATAAACTTTGACATATTTGACAGCTTTCAGAGGAGATTGTGACTAGAGATACGAATAAGAATATTAGTCTTGTCTTATTATTAACAGTATACATACATACACACATTGCAATAGATAATACTGACCATAAAATAAACATTTAAAGAAGAATAAGCACTGACTATTATTAATTATTAATAATGTCCAATGTTCAGTTTGAATAATGATAACCCATATCTTAGTCACGATAGTGCAATAGACGCGGCGAATTCGGAATACAGCTACTATCAAAAGGCGGAAGAGGAGGCCGAGACGGACGGATCTGAGGGTTTAGCGGAAGGAGGAGACGTGGCTCACTCTTTGGCGGCTCTGGCCCTCCTCAGGGCGCGCCTCCCCTCGGCCGTTGCCGCCCTGCAAGCCGCTTTGCCCCGACCGCCCCCGGACGCCATACCCGCCTTGGAACAGATCGCTCAAGTGAGAATCTATCAAATTATGTTCATTCACAATATGAGAGAAAGTGTATTTCCAAGTTTTTTAAAATTTGTTTCATATATTTGAATTAATTTTAAACCGTTGTGTAAATCTTAATATATATAAATTACGTGTCACGTTGTTTGTCCGCTATGGACTCCTAAACTACCGAACCGATATCAATCAAATTTGCACACCGTGTGTACTTTGATCCAACTTAAAAGATAGGATAGCTTACATCTCAATTTATATCCGCAATATTATTTTATTGCAAATATTTGTTTATTATTTCTAACAGATGGCGCTGTGTTAAAAGTACCAACGTATCAGATAAGCTATCTACCTTTCACATTAGTTCTCCTACCGTTTCCCTTGAATAGTTTACTACTATGTAAAATAACAAAAACCTTAGCCATAGCAACGCTTGGCCGGTCTGCTAGTATCTAGTAAATAGCAAAGCAATTGTGGAGTAAACAATTTTTCGTTCTGACATAGCAGCATGTGGAGCAGTTTCATTTTTTTTAAATGTATATTTCATGTTTCCTTTGGATAAACGTTAGAAAATTATATTAAACAACTAAAACTGTATATTTTTGATAAATATGTAAAATATTATTATAATGTAAAAAAATTCTAAATGCCTTTTTATGTATCTATCTATAATATGCATTTTAAGATAATTTTCAACATATATAATTTGAATGAAATAAATAAGCAATTATTTAAAAACCTTATGTTTACATGACTAGGTTCCTTTAAATAACCTCAATCTGAAAGAAAAATATTAATCTACAAAATAAGCCCTTATTGCTGTTTTCTAGAGTTTTTTTTTTCATGTTTGTATATGTCGCAGCTTATAGCTTAGTTAGCCGTTCAATCTTTTGTGTGTTCTCTTTGTCGACAAACAACTAAGATTGTTTTTCGACTAAGTTAATTATTAATACACACAAATAATTTTATATAAAATAAAATAAAAATAAAATAAAATATGTTTATTATGGAACATAAGATACATGTATCACTTATTCCACGTCATTAAATTTGAAGGCATCCCTACTCATCGGCAAAGAAGACAGAGGGTGTAGGCCGAGAGAAAAAGCCGGCGTAAAAAACTCTCGGTACTCTTTTAAAACAGCAAATCATCAAACAACACTTATTTAAAACAAATATCGCAAATTGATTAGAAGTAGCCTGTCTAGCACTAGTCCCAGGCCCTTTTATCAACTAGATAATCGTTGACTTTATAGTAAGCCTTTTTCACACAGCTTTTCTTTAATACATTTCTTAAATTTATTGAAAGGCAGTGATAAAAGAGCCTCTGGGATTTTATTAAAGAAGAGTATCCCTTTCCCCAAAAAAGAATTACTAACTTTAGATAGTCTAGTACGGGGAAATTGCAGCCTGCGTTTGTTCCGTGTATTAACATTGTGCGTATGTTCTATTCTAGTAAACTTATCACTATTTTTGTATACATACATAATATTTTCATAAATATATTGCGAGGGAAAGGTAAGTATATTAATTTCCTTGAATTTATCTCTAAGAGATTCCCTACATTTTAAATTATAGATTGCACGAATAGCCCTCTTCTGCAGGATGAAAATAGTTTCGACTTCTCTCTATTACACGAATCATCTCTGTCACTCGAAACACTAAAAGTCCGGTATCTATTAGGAGACAGAGACGGCGCTCTACGAAGCCGAAGCTAGCCGAGTATCTCTTTCTAAAGCACGATGCGACTTATAATTGGCCGGGTACTCTACATGTGTTCAATTACAGCTCTCCGCCTTACTGCAATGCCGAAACCACGCTTTGATTGATGTCGAAACGGCATTAGAAGCGGCCGAAAATCAGACATCATTCTCCGTCGGACGGCGCCAACTCGTCCCTGTGATGCTGGGAAGGAACAAACCAAAAGTAAACCTGGTCAAGGTCAACCAAGTTAAAGTGAATCCAGTGAAAGTGATAAATAAAGTGAAAGAAGTGCCATTACAAGTGTTCCATCAAGTTGAATGTGATTCCACAAGTGATTTGCCATTCCAGGACCCTCTACGGTTACGGACAGAATGACTACGGAGGAAAATTATGCTGTTCAGTTATTATCATTAATTATTCACAATTTTGAATAATTCATGATAATTATTCAGTATAATAATACCTTTTTACTTTCCAATTGACTGCAATAAATAATTTTTACAAAAATAATAATTACAGCATAAATAATTAACGTTAGCTTTATATCTTATTTAAGATATTTTGTTTATATGGGTAATAGTTTTTTGTGAAAAAATCCATTGCAGCAAGGTACTGCAATTGCCAAGTTTGTCAAAGCCCTATTCAAATTGAATTTTTTGACTTTGCCTTGTGTGCCATTGAAAGTGCGAAAAACAATACAAACATTGTATTAAAGTATGTGTGATAATAAGTGTTCAATATAGATAATTCAAATGTAATTTGTATTAGTCTTAAATGAACAATTTTTTCAATAAGGTATCCGTACTATGTAAAGTGTATAATGGGTTTAGTAAAAATAAGGTATAGGTTTTTATATGATCTTTGTTACAAGCAACATCTTATTGCTGTGAAGTAACATTTAGATTAACTCCTAAATTCACAGCAATTAAGCTTTGTCTATGATATTTTTAATTTTTAAGTGAATATAATCATGATATGAATGAAATATTATTATTATTCAAAGTTGTGATTGGTTTATAGATCTCAAATATGTGAAATATTTACGTAGCTCAGAAATTATGTTGTCCTTTAATATATATTTAATGTTATTATATTTCTTTTAAGAAAGCGCAAAATGTTTGGATCAAATAAAATAAAATTGCTTATAGTAATGTTGTGTTTGATTATGATAATGTGTAGCTTGTAAGATTTGATGTATCAAAGGTACATAATTAAATTAATAGTAATAACGCTGCTTTATTATTTTTGATTGCTGGCTGGGTAAAATCACTTTGCAACAGACGTAATCCACTAACAAAAAAGTTCATTTCAAAAGTCAAATCAAAAGAAATATACATTAAATGCTTCTAGGGCGTAGTACGGAAGTGAAGAACTGGCAATAAACTCTCCACCACTCTTTTTAATCGCCACTACTCACTACTTTTTACATTTGAAGTTACAAATATAATACATTTTGTCTTCTTTTCGTTTAGCTTAAGATTATTTGTATTAAACCAGTGAACTACACTGGAGATGGCACTGTTTACATTCTCAAGTGATGGATTTCGTCGTGAAGCGAAGTGTCATCAGCAAACAGTACTATCTTGTGAAGCTCCGTTACAAGAAATGGTAGGTCATTTAGATAGACGAGGAATAAGAAGGGACCAAGTATGGCGCCTTGCGGTACACCCATAGTAACAGACGATCCCTGTGATATAGCTCCATTTACATTTACCTTTTGAATTCTATCGCTTAGGTATGATTCCATAAGATCTAGCGCTTTTTCGCCAATGCCACAGTGTTGAAGATAAATCCCAAAAAACTCTAATGGCATCATGAGAATTTTCCCAAGCATTCAAATCTCGGAAATTACTTTAATGCCAGCATCTGCTGTGGAGCGACCTCTTGTAAAACCATATTGCTGGCTATGCATAAGTTTATTATTATTAAAATGTATCAATAATTGATAAAGAATATTTTTTTCAAAAATTTTAATAAATGCTGCATGTTTTGAAAGAACACAATCTATACATTCATTAAATATTATAGCTAACGCATTTGCATGGTATTGACATTTACTCACGTGATTTCCATACAAATTTGTTAAAGCCTCTCGTTTTTTATAATTTGACAAGAATTGGTTGTATTCTGTGTTTCTATTCGAATTTAAATCCCAATAGGTGTATTTCGATACGTGGAGGGGATTGCTGCGCATGTGTACTGTCGCGGACGCAATACATTTTTGGATTTTACCTAATTCGCTGATTATAGGTACTATTAAATTTTATGTTTCCTGCCTTAATGATTTCGGCAGTTTGTTTTATCTGGCTCAAATTTACAATGTTGCTGTCCGAATGACTGAACAAAGTATTTGTAGCTTCGTCAATCTCACTTTGGATTTGTTTCAAAGAATCAATTAATTCGTTAGATTCCCTTTTTAAAAAACAATTCACGTCATAAACCATTTTCCTGGCTTGTCTTTTCAAAACAGTATTTGTTCTAGGCATATTCACTTTAAAGTCACAAACAAACTTAAAAACAAATAACAAACAACAAAACACTAACAAATTCAAACGTAAAAAAAAACAACAAAACGTAACAACAGTAACAATAATATTAATGACGCGACTGTACACGGGATGTGCGCGGGGCGTCGTATTGGTGCGGGGGACGGAATGCGACTGGAGAGCCAATCGACGCTACGCGCGCCCGCTCTTCATTCCGCTAGCCCCCCTCAGGTACCTTATTTTTTACTTCTGCGCAATAACGGTCAGCGCTAGTTTCGTGCCGCTACTTGTACGGCCATAAAATCTTTAAAAAATCAAATCAGATGTCATTTCATTTATAATGGCGACATCTGCAAATCAGATGTCATTTCATAAGGGAAACGTAAAACGTCATTTCTCAACCCTCCGTCAGTTCATAGTTGACGTTTATCTTGTTTACAAAGTTACAACAATATTTAAGTATTTTAAGAATAAATAAGATTTAATATTTAACTAATTCATCATTTAATACTAATAAATCATTTTTAGCCTTTTGCCTCTAGTTTATTTTCACGTAAGAAAGTTATAGCAATATGTCGGACTCAGAAAAACAAAACAATGAAAATTCTTTGGATATCGATGGAAGCTCATTTAATTCGGAGATGTATTTAGAATGTCTCTTGAAATGTGCTTCTTTACGACAAGTAATGGACAAAGAAGCCGAAATTATCACGCAAAGTCAATCCTTGCAGTCCGAGATGCAGACTCTGGTTTATGAAAATTATAATAAGTTTATATCGGCAACAGAAACAGTTCGCAAGATGCGTTCAGATTTTCAAATAATGCAGGAAGAAATGAATAAGTTAAGTGAAAATATTAATAAGATAACCACGTTTAGCTCAAATATTTCCGAATCTCTTAAAGACAGTGGCAATAATGTTAATAGATTATGCAGTACTCGTCAATTGTTGGATAAATTACAATTTCTATTCCTACTGCCTACACAGTTAAATAAAGCTATTCAAGAGGGGCGCTATTCAGATGCAGTTCATGATTATACACATGCTCAAAAGGTATTGCAGAAGTATGGTGACCAACCATCATTTCAAAGCATTCAAACAGAGTGTTCTGACATCATTTATGGCTTAAAGAAAAGTCTAAGAGAAAGATTACTTTCTCCTGAAACTACTGCATCAGAGTTAGCTGAAAGTGTAGGCCTGTTGCGACAGCTCCAGGAATCAGATTCCTCCCTACAAGATATCTTCCTGAGTTGTGCAGAGAGTAGACTAGAACAACATCTTAATCTCTTAGCCTCCATGGTAGATACCTCAGACATTCTGGAATGGGTTGAAAAATGTAACGGATTGATTCTTGCTGATCTTGGTATAGTAATATCTTGTTATCATGATATTTTTCAAGATACTGAAAGTATTGGCATACCAGAATTTGCAGACAAAGTAATGACTCAAGTATTTGATCTCTTCGAAGCGGTTATTAGAAGACCAGAAAATGTAGGCACAGAGATACTTATAAGGGGTCTTGATAAATTCTTCAGAAAATTTCAAGCTTTGTCTGAAATAATATGCAGCGATGGTGCATCTAACAAAGCTCTATGTGTAGTCACTCAATGCATCAAGCATAAAGCTACAATGCAGCATCAAATAATTCAAGTTCAATTTAAAGAAAACCTCATGAAAGTTCGCCAATCCTTAGCCAGTAAAGGGACAGAGAATGCAGATCTCAAAGACATACTCAACGCTTTGCAAGTTTACTTGATGCAAAAAATTCAGGCATCTCTACTGGACTTAATGGCCTTTTTGCAGACCAATTTATCATTTGGTCTCAAACCATGGTGTGCAAATGCAGTTGCAGATAGCTGCTGGATAGTCGTATCGGAAACCTTGATAAATATTTCAGATATGATTAAGAAATTGTCTGTGATACAAACATCAAATAACATTCCATTTGAATTGCTCCTTATTCTGGCTAAGTTATGTTTAGAAATGCAAGAAAATGGAGTAACAATATTACAAAATCATCTAACAAAACTCCTTGAAGAAGCTGCCCCTGGATTATCAGTAGAAAAAAAGGATACAAACACTGTAATGGTCAACTTGTCTTCTGCCGCTCAGTCAGCTTTGGATTCAGAAGTAGTATTTATAGGACAAACTGCTGCACAAATGTTGCGTGTTTCAGTTTTGGCTAGGGATTGGCTACGGGCACCTGAACCTCGGGGACCTCGTGCAGTTTGCAGAAGGGTTGTTGAAACACTAGCCAGTGCTGATAGTGCAGCTTCACAGCTTTTTCCTACCAGTTTCAAACCATCTAGTGATTCCAGTAGGCGTACTATTTGGTCCCGCGCACCATCGTCTTTCTCTCCAATTAATAGACTGTTTTCTGAGAGAATAGAAGTTTTCAGCCCAGCCGGCGCGGATCGAGCTGCATTATCCAATGGAGCTTTAAAAGTGGCGTTGAAAGCGTTAGTGGAATGCGTTAGATTACGCACATTTAGTAGACACGGCTTGCAGCAGTTGCAGGTTGATGTACATTTCCTTCAACAAAGGCTGTCTTGTATGGGAAATGATGAAAGACTACTTAATGCTCTGCTGGAGGATGCTCTTTCTTCCGCTCAGTTACGATGTGTAGATCCCCAGCTAATGGAACCTAGTATTGTAGATATTATTTGCGAGCGTGGATAGTTGCAACCTTTATCTTAAGTATCTACATTGTCATATTGTTAAATTATTTTAACACTAATTAAAAATAATCTGAATAAATATTTATTGTATTAACGAGTTGTTTTTTACTCCTCTCGAAAGTGCAATGGTCAATTTATCTTTTAAAGACAGGTTTCACACCAGCTAAACAACAATCATTTACTAATTATAGGTATAGAATAATTTCTCAAAAAAAATTATAGACCAAGCTCTATTTGAATTCAATATCTATGGTCCCCCACTTTGAATGCAAAGCATTTGTACATGTCCGGAGTTCGATTCCGTAAAAAATCCCCTACTTAATAGAGGAGTAAATTTTTTGAAACATGAATAGGATCTTTTGCATTTGAAATAAACACCATTATTAGCATTTTTAGACAATTTATTTATAACCCAATAGTCAAAATTGCATCGTAAGTATTAAAAATAATGATCTACATTTACCTATACTATTATATATTTTCTTATGTAAATGCTCCTAGAACATAAATCTCACGAGACGATCTACTTTCTTTAAATGTTAGTTATGGGGGTACGATAAACATTTAAAATTAATTAAAAAACAACATCGTAACATTTAACACTAAAACAGAAGATATTTTGGTCCTATATTCCTATAAACAATTATATTACTATGGAGATTTAAAAATTTTATTTCCAAAACATAAAGGGTTTATCCAAAGTTTTTGGTCATTCACTATAATTAATTATGTTTTCAGTTTTAAACTGACTTAAAATATATGGTACTTATCACCACTTCTTGAATTACGTCATAGACAAAAGTTCTACAAAAATTGTTTTGCATAACTATGGGAAGCTCGTGACTCACTACGCTTTGTTTATCCCAAAATTATTATAAGCTCATCGAATATATCGCTCTTTTTATTGATTAAAACGATTAATCATTGACAAATTACGGATATGTTGTGTCAGTATGTCATAATTCCATTTTTGGTTGTCACAGAACTCTTAGTCCAAGCCGAAAACGTCGAAGGTGAAAAGAAAATTCATGAGACAACAATTTTAACGAAAGTTCTAATCTGTTTTCGTCACAACGTAAACACAATTTCACAGAATGACACGAAAGAATACGTTAGCTTAAACAGAGATTTAGATTATATTTATGTTGTCCGTTGTGGCTTGGACTGTGTACTGTAATTTTTACAAATTTGTGCCTTGTAGAATGTTCATACTTTGAAATGCTTTACGATAAGCGTGAAATATGAAGTAGGTACATATACAATCTATATGTTTTAATTTCTAAAGTAGGTTAATAAAGCATATAGTAAATGTTTTTGTATGACAGACCAGCTGCTGTATAAGATAATACATGGATATACATACGCAAATATAAGAGATGTTATTAATTGACAAAAAACTGATAAAATTTCAGTTTTAGATAAATTCGAACACTATTTGAAATAATTAACTGAATAAAAAATATATAAATATAATAATGTAAAAATATAATATATTTGAGTTTTTAATAATATAAATTAATGTTAGTTTAATAAAGAAAACATCACAAAAACACTGAATGTCCACCGAATATTGGCACTTATTAATAATGTCTAGGACAAATATATATGAACATGCAGTTGAATCGATTTGTAGTAAAAATGGGCTAGACTAGTAAAACGTGTCGAGCGACATACTCGAAACAATTGACGCAAAAACAATGAAAGCCTACAACTAAACAAACATAAATTATTTTCTCTTCTAGGATCTAGAACAAATTGACAAAATCGAGACCAGTCGCTCACAAAATATCTCAAATTCATAACCGCGTGTAAAAATATATATTTCAATAACACTGGTCCGTATTTCGTCGTGAGCATGTGGTGCGTGATTAGTCCTAGCGAATTCACAATTCATTCATTTCAGAGATTAAACACGCCAAAATGTCCGACCATTTGAATAAATATTCTCCATCGTAGGAAACACATAACATTTTAAAACTGTAGGACATCGAATAACACTTATTTGATTTTGCGTGACTTGTCAGGAGCGCCTCTGAGAGCAGTCCTGCGCGTATCCTTGTCGTCACTTTGCTTATCACTAGATTTCCTCAACTTTTTAACTTGTGTTTTTATTTGTGTGTTCTGCTTTTGTGTTTGTTTCTGTGTTGTGAGTTTTTGTGCTAAAGTCTGTTTTGGCGGTTTGAGAGTAGGTTTTAGTTGTTTCGGTTTGGGGTCTTCGGGCGGGGGAGATCTACGTTTTCGTATTCTAGGAGGTGTGTGTGCTAAAGTGGTGTGTCGGGACAAAAGAGCAGCGCTGCTAAACAACTGTCCACAATCACATCGATGCTCGGCTTCGGCACCTGCAATCGAAAGTTCTAATTTAAAATAACCTATTATAATAGAAAATTTAATTGCTAGCCAACATAAAGTTTCATTGTGCATGAAAAACCTTTAGTATTTAGTAATGAATGTTTTAAAAAAATACTATTTATAGTCTAACCTTACAACAAGCGAGGCTAAAATAAAAATACTTACGCTTTCGGACCACCTTCACGGGTAGATTTATCTTCTGTTTTCCCAATGATTTCCTTTTAGCCACGCCAGGAAGTGATTTTCGTTTATCGCTTATAGACTTTCTTTTATCGTTCACTATTTTTGGAGCGGGTTTATCGACAACCGTTTCAGGGAAGGAATATTTAACGTCGCTATCGTCCGAATCAGTGGAACACGCCGTTTTCAAAAGAGATTTAGATTTTTTAACAGACGCCGATTGTATCGGCCGTGCTTCTACTTTTGTCTTCAGACGTAGTATTTTTGGAGGGTGTTGCAGGGAGATTCTTCGTTTGACTAAGTCTTTCGAGTTAGGTCTTTCTATTTGAAGCGAGCTGCGCTTTTCGGCTCGTACCTTCATAAATTTCTCCTCCGGGTTATTGTCCTGATATTCTGGGTTCAGCATGTACCTCACTTCGTCGTCGTCACTTGACTCAATCTTTTTGTCAATATTACGTAACACACTGATCTTTTGTTTCTTCGTAACTGTAATCCCTATCTTTTCTTTGCCCGCGGTTCGTTTTTTAGGCGTCGGTGTGTCTGGTATAACAATGATTTCTATTTCCTCTTTCTTAATAACGGGTTTCGTGGCATTTTCTACTTTGATTCTGTCAGCGACATCTGTCTTTTTTGTAACAAGAGGTAAATCGTCACTCTTACTGTCAGAATCATCGACAATGTTACTATCAAGTTGTTCTTCAACCTCATAAACAGGGTCTGACATTTCTTTTTCTGTATTTTGTTTGGCATTCTTTTCCGGAGCTGAAGTTACCTCGTTGCTAGAAAAGGGTTTAATTTTTTCTGGCACTATGCTGGGTTTTTTGTCAGTTTCACTATCTATCTCTTCTTTACTTTCTTCTTTAATAACTACTTCGCCTGTTTTCGATAGCTTCGCTGCGGATTGTTTCTTTTTTCGCTGACAGTTAACAAAGTGCTTTTTAAGCGAGTGTTCATTTGGAAAAACCATATAACAGAGGGAACATTCATGTATTATGTCACGGGTAGATAGCGAGCTTTGAACGCTTTTATCGTCAGATTTTTCTGAACTTGTTTCTAAATGTTGATCCTTGTGCTCCATCAAATGCTGCAACTTCTTAAATGTTTTGTTGCATATGTCACATTGATGCAGGGTAGGTGTTTTAACAGCATCTTTCGTGTTATTGGGAGTACTTTTCTTATTGATACCATCATGAGTTTCTTTATGTTCAACGAGATGATGGAGTTTTCTAAAATACTTGTCACAGGGCTCACAATGAAACACTGTTTTGTGATCTTCTTTTTCCATTGGTGGTATAGCCTGGGTTTTAGTTTGTTTATTTTCATTTACTTCTGATGAGCTCTTCCTGCTCGACCTCGCAGTCATTACTTTCGGATCATGAATCAAGCGATGTTGAACTAAGTGATGTAACCTTCTGAATTCTTTCTTGCATACTTCACAACAAAACACGGTTTTGTTAATTTTCTCTAACTTTTCGGCTTCTTCCTTTTTATGTTGTATTTTGTGACTTAGTAAATAAGATAGTTGTCGAAATGTTTTCCCACACAGCTCACATGCAAGATTATTTAATTTGCTTTTAACTTTTACTTCTTTTTTCTCTACGTGCTTGGAATGAGCCTGTGTTCTTTCTGATATTTCTTGTAATTTGACTCCATCATCATGTTTTGATGCTGGTTTAGAATCCCTTGATTTTCGTTTTCTCGGAATAACGACCTCGTCTTCCGAGTTACTGTCCAAAGAAAAGCCTTTACTGTCATTTGAATTCCTTAGTCTGCGAGAACTACGTTTATCAGACTCAGATCTATTTGGCGAAGGGCCCGTACAATGCTTTACGTGTTTAAACACAACATTTTCGGAACGGAATAATTTGCTACAGATAGGACAAACTATATTTTCATTTATCTTACCCATAGTCCAATTTACCTGTATAATTTCGTCATCGCTGCTATCTTCTTCTGTCTCTGTTAGACTAATGTTGGAATTGTTTTGTTCTGATTTCTTCTCTTTTTGTGGACTTACAGGAATCTTTAATTCCGATTCAGAGCTAGGCAGTGGATATTTTCTAGGTCGCCCGCGACCTCTTTTGGCTGGAGTGGTTTGTTCTATTTTTGTTTCATTTTCTTCACTATTCATTAACTTATTTCCACTTTGTGTTTCAAGTAATTCGGCTGCTTTCACTAAATTGTCGATGGCAGATATGGGGTCAGAGTGTACAACGTACGTTTCACTTCTTTTAACAGTTTCAAAATCCGAGGTTTTAATAACATCTTGAATTTTATATTGTTTTTCATCCTCAATACTACGGTTAAGAAGATAGGATTTTTTTGGCAAAAGGGACTTGGATTTTTTATCAATTTTCTCATCGACTTTGCGCTTCTTCTTCGGTGAAAATTCTAAACCTAGGTCCTTGGGTACAATTAGTTCAAGTTCGGGAGCTTCGACAGGTGTCAAAACTTGTTTCCTTTGATGTTTAACCTTTGATTTATTTTCCAATAACTTATTTTGAATAGCTATCGTTTCTATGATATCTGAATCGATGGACTCCGAAGTACTGTAAGCATTATCGTTTGTGGGCTTGATCGACGGCGACAGCTCTTGACCCTGGACATTTAGTTTGAGCGCGCCGAACTCAGCATTTGTATCCACAAACACTACTTTCACGGGTTTATCTTCAATTATAGTAATAGGTTCTTGTTGTTGTTTAGCTGTTATCGCGGTTTGGTACGCCATTTGTACTTTAGATTGATAATTTTTGCTCGCTGTAATCTCCGGTTGCGTGGATTTCACTGCAGTAGGAATTTTGCTGGCATGGATATTATGACGAGCGAGATACTGTTTATGAGTAGATTTAGCTTTTGATTCTGCCAGCATCAGTTCGTTTCGAGACATCTTTTTTACGGGTACTGCTATCGGGACAATACTTTGTGTAACATTGCACGGTTCCCTCTTATCAAAATTAACAGTAAGACAATTTTCATAAGTCACAGAGTTACGTCTAGCAAATTTATCAAAATCTTTTTCTGTGATTATTGACTCCTTTTTAGCACCATTATTACATACCACCTCTTGGGGTAATTTATCTTTAACAGTTATCGCGATATCTCCGGTGATAGGCTCATGTTCAATAACCTCTTCATCGGAAATATTTGCTCTGTCATTCTCCTTCACCTTTTTGTGATGTTTATTTGTGTAAGGTACGACTGGGTTTTCTTTTTTAGTATCACATAAATTATCGGTATCGTTAGGTTTCGATTCCAGCCCCGGTAATTCGTGGGACGGCCTTTCAACAAAAGGTATTCCATGAAGTTCATTCATTTTGCGTTCTATATCGTCTAAAGTGACAATGCTCGAATTGTATATTTCTTTGGCCTTCGCTTCTATATTCGATTTATCTTCTTGCGTAGCTTTCGCAGGTAAGGCTCGGTTTATTATTCCTTCAATGGTTTTGTCGATCAGATCTTGATTATTTATTTCTTTTCTTTGAGCTAAAATTAATTTATTCACCACGGGTTGGGGAATTTCTGGTTTACTGTTTGTTATTTCTATAATCGGTTTAGGCTTTGTGTTAGATTTTGAAGGAAGAGTTTCTTTAATTTTCGATATATCAGGTACTGTTGGTTTCTCAACGGCACAAGCAGTATTTTTAAAAACTGTAGAACTAGGTTTTACATTCAATTTATTATTGACATTATCTTGAATCTTTACTGCAACACTATTTGTCTGCCTTTGACTATCTATCTTTTTCAAGAAATCTCTTCTGTTTAAGTCATTAGTCTGTTTAATTTGTTTTGTATGTGAATTACTAGTTGTTACCTTTGCTTCCTTAATTTTATTTAAAAATTCTTGCCTATTAGCTTCAGTCCATTTTCCAAAAGGCACAGCGAGACAAACTTTGGATGGAACTTTATGTTCTAGATTTTTTACGAGATTCAAGTCTATTTTCTCTTCAGTTTTTGGTTTACACTTCTGTTCAATGGAAGGAATTGTTTTCTGCATGGTAGGAAACTGTAACGGCTTTTCTATTCTTAAATCCCCTTGCGAATTTTGACTGCAGCTATTACTAGTTCCTTTTTGTTGCATTAACTTATTATCCTTTGATTCCTCCACAATAAATTGTTTCAACCTAGAAATATTACTTGTAGACATCTTAACATCAAAGTCGAGTGTCTTAGTAGCTTTTTCAATATCGTTAAGTATTGGCTGAGTAGCACAACCTTTACTTTTTGTATTAATAGTAGGTTCAACTATTTTTTGTTTGGAAGTTTTATATGTGTCAATAGTATCAGCATGCAGATTTGATGTATTTGTTTGTGTAGAGTCAACTTTAAGAGTATCTTCTTTGCCAACGAGCTTCATATCTTGTGCTTCTAATTTACTTTCGTTGTTCTCTGCAGTATGTCTGCTATCTATTGCTATTTGAATTTCTTTATTTTTATCCATTACTTCACTATCTTGTGGTTCACATTTTTTGGTTTCTTCTATTTTTTTCACAATACTTTCACAACTTTTTAGTACCCCATCCAAATCAGAGACTACTCCTTCGCTTTTAGATTTAGAGTCAGGATTCATTTCAACGGGCTTCGTAGTTGGTTCATTGGAGACATCAGATATAATACTATCTTCTGCAATAACCAATTTATCTTCTACATCTGTTTCGGTATTGTCAGATAATGTATCAGTAACCAGTGTGGACACAGACTGAGTAGAACTATATACATTGCTTTTTGTTTCATTACATAAATCTTGGTTTATTAATTTAACAGTATTTTCAAATTTATTAGACATATTAGGAATCAATATTGCGTCGGGTGTTATTTTATTATCAGTTGCTGTTACATTAACTTCATTTGCCTTATAAGAACCTTCCTCTTTAACGCCTTCAGTGGCTTTAGTCTCTGGAGGACTTTTCTTGAGATCACTAGCAAAATTATCATCATGTTTTGTTTCTATTGTATCAATAATGGCGGAAGGCATAATATCACGTATTCCAATGTTCTCTTTTAAACTGTTTTCAGTTGATTCATTTGTAGAATCATTCTCATCTTTATATTTTAAAACATTTTCTAATTTTTGTTTACAATTGTCTGTATTTACTTCTATGGTTTTCTTTATATTATCTGAATGCCTATTTGGTTGTAGATGCTGATCTACCATTGTTTTTGTAAGAGGTCGACCTTCCTTATTTTGTGTTGAGTGGTAGGTCATAGGAGTAAAAGTGCCAATCACAGGTGACTTACGGGATTCACTGAATTTCATAGTTTTGCCATTAAAGTTTAATTCAGACTTGGATTCTTGCAGGTCTTTAATGGATTTTTCCAATTCCTTGCTATTAGATTCATTGTTTTCTAAGACATTCTGTGTTATCTTTTGTGTAGTTTCAACAACTTTATCCCTAATGTGATTTATTTTTTTGACACTCTCACTGGAAGTTTGTGAAGTACTAGAGGCAGGCTTACCGTCTTTAACGGGCTGAAATACAAAAATTATTTTCATAATATCATCTGAAATACATAGTGGTAAAAAGTTTGCATAATTTTTTTAAATGCATCATCTGTACACTATTATTTTTAAATATGGCGTGTTCATAATAAACACAGAACAAAAAAGATTAACAGAAACTACTTACTGTGTGTAAATTATACTAGAGATGTGTATAGGTTTGTATAGGTTTTTGTACCAACAATATTGTAATCATCAAAGTTCAGGTATTACTTTTGTATTAAGTTTGTTTAGTGATTTATCTTTAATAGTTTTCATTATTCATTTAATTAAAAACAAAAACTAAATATGGTAACTTATAACATACCGCTTCCTTTGGAACTTCAATTTCAATTTCTTCATATACCTCCAAGTTTCCTTCAGCATTTTCACTGAAAAAGTAAAATGTTGGTTATGGAAATATGGAATCATAGTAGTGCACTTATTGATTGCATATTTTATTAAATTGTGCTTTTAACAATTTTGATGTGTATAATAAATATAAAATGTATTTAAGTATTTCTTTTAGATAACTTCATTCTTTTATTAATTCTAATATTCCAGATAATTAATTATAAGATTTAAAATTGAGTCATGGATGGCAAATGATATAAACTTTTTAATTAACTTAAAATGTTTATTGTGTTTAATCTACTGTAAAGTTGTTTCATATAAATAAAAATATGATTAGTCATAATCCAAAATTAAATTTATACAATACATTAAATTTATAAAATATTTAACATATTTATGTTATATGAATTTCCTTACCTTATACTTTTTAGGCAAAGCAACTCAAAATAATTTACCTAATATTTTAAAACTTAGGACCCATAAAACATCAGTATAGAACATTAACAATGTTCAACTCTACCATGGATAACACAAACCATTTTTTTATTTACTTCTTATTAAACTAAACCAAATGTTTTCATAATTACACCAACAATGTGTAATTGACAACATGATTTTGAAATATTTAGGCGATGTAAATAAAATTGTCATTATACTCACCGAACTTTAAGAAATTTAAAAGTTTGCTGTTGTTGGTCACCATCTATGATCTGTACAGCAGCTAATTCTTCTTCTCCAGTCTTTCGGTACAAATACAATCCATTTCCAATATCAATTGCATCAACATTCTTACCATCAATTTGCAACACTACTTCGGTCTCCTTACTAGGTGTAGCATCACTGATATCAGCTGCTTCCAATGTATCCTCATTCTCATCACCTTTTATATCCTTATCAATTGGGTTATCATCAATAACAAGTTCGTGACCATCATAGGAATTGTCATCAAATATATTCACACCACCAGATAAAATGTTTGCAGCTTCAATTTGCTTTCCAATTTTAAAACTTTCTATTTCATTGCTTTTGTGTATTGGTGATAAATTACATATTAAATTTGGGTCTGTTATGCTTGGTTCTACATTGGAGGTCGACGAACTGTCCTTCGACGGTGATACGATAAACGTAGAGTCTTCTTCAGTTAAAGAATAGAATGATGAGCTTTCGTTCGCGGTTAAAAACGATTCGCTCGGTAATGACGATGTATCAAGGGTAATGTCTTTGGAGCGAGGAGCTTCATCTCGAATCTGGTGAATTCTATCCATCACCGCTCATTTGTTTTGACTAAGAAACACACAGTATTCAAAAATTTATACACGCGCTATTTATCACTTTATCGGCTGCACTCGGGCAATGAAAACATTTCGATGAACCAATTAGCACCTAGGTCAATAGCAGAGAAACAAGTGAAACTTTCTTGAGTAACACACACAGTATAAATTTAATAACTATGAGAAACACATTTTTTAGCACAATTATACTTTGATATAGTTAAATTTAAAACGTAAATTAATTTAAGAATTAAGAAAATCAGTAAATTGGGGCCTGTATTTAACAACACATCAACCTATTAAAGAATAAAGATGGACGTCGTGACTTGAGTGATGTATGGTGATGCGCTATATTTTCAGTAGTACCGATTTTATTAGTACTGTTTGAAATCGATTTCGTTAAGTTTTCTCTTTAAAATGTTGAATATATCATTATATATGTATAATGTTATTATGTATCTAATTGAATATTCGACCTATTACCTACATTCAATTAAATATATATTATTTATTTCGATTATTAAATACTATAAGCAATATAAGCAAAAAGTTTAAAAACTTACTAATAATGATATAACAAAATTGGTCTGTTAGATTGTTTTATGTACATAAAGTAAATTAAATTTGTTAAATTACAAAACCTAGATATTGGAAAAGCAAATATTTTATAAGAAAATAAGTACGGTTTTTTACACTTTCGACAATGTCGAATTTACGTTAGTTTTTTCGTTCCTATTCTCTGTGCTTATTTATGGTTTCTTTTTTTGAATGACTTCATGTCAAATTTCAATGTCAATTTTTAAAATAAATTCGTTGGTAAAGGTGAATTTAATTTTGATATAGCGTTACTTTGATTTTGGGCAAAAGAGGTGGAATATTAACAAAGAAGCTATACTAGCTAAGCTATAACAATTATATCGATATTAATCGTGTATACGACTGTCTAGAGTGCAACTAATAGCTTATTAAGCGCTTGTTTCTTTAAAAGCCTTGAATCTTTAAAATGGAAAAGGAAGACTCAAAAAAAGTCACCAAACCCACTGTTAAAACAACCGAAATGACAAAAACTAATGAGAGCAAAGGCAAGCTAGGAGAGAAAGTAGAAGAAAAAAGGCCCTTAAGAGGTATAATATATAACTTTGGCAGTCAATAAGCCCTGCTGTTTATCAAGTTTTCTTAACTTCTCCATCTCTGAAACAAAATTACAGTGTTAACTTCATGTAACGTCCTTCGATTTAACGAAAAGCGTCGAAATCAATTGGCTTTGGTTGGTCTAGCTTGTCTTCCATACAATGATACACACTACATAGCATTACACTCACTCACACAAGTACTTTTTAAGTTGCTAAAATTAGTAAAAACTGCGCAGCTGTGTACGTTCTTTTGTCGCTTTACTATCCTTGCCCGCAATAAACTAGACTGTCGGCATCATGCATACAAACTTATGAAATTTGTGTTGTGCATGACTAATAATTAGGCTAGTAAAAGAAAATTACTGTGTATTGATTAATAAGTTTTACTGATATGCGCAATAGAAACGGGTGAGAAGATAAGTGAAGTTCTCTCCATTTAACAACAACTTTCTTTTCAAGTGTCGTTATATAGAGTTAACACTCTATCTTGTTTACATATTTTAAATCTATGTGTGTATTACATTAGTGATAAAATTTTTGTTTTCCGTTACAGATGTCAATACACCTAAGACTGGAAAGGTAATGCCAAAAACAAATATTACAATAAAAAAAGTTCTGCGAAAAAGATCCTCCACAGCTGGTTCCCCGCAGTCTAGTATTAGCAAAATTCATACAAATTCGGCCAGAAAACCTATGTGGAAAAGGCGTCCACTACCAGCCCACTCTGGTGTACCGGTCCCAGAAAAAATGAAGAAACTATCACTTAAATTATTAAATATGGATTCTTACAAAGATGAACAAGTTTAATGACTAATATAGAAAAAAATACTTGCATTTTTAATTTTGGGCCTGGCCTTTCATTTTTATTGTTATGATTGTTAACGACAAGATTGCTGCAACTGCAATATTAACTTTTGATAGTTACTTGAAACTAAATTGGCAAAGAAAAATCTTACTTTACATTTTGGGTGTATAACTTATATATAATAATTTGATACAGCCATTTAAAGTAAGTAGTTAATTAAACAAGCTTTTCTACAGAATTTGTTAACATTACAATAGATCAGTGAATCTTGTATAAGCATTTTCATTATCATGTCTTTGAAATTGAACCTGATTACTTAAGTATTGTGGTATAATTTTCTTTAGAATTATAATTTAAGGTTTTACTAAGTACCCCAAGCTCCCATGTTTCATTAATGACCTTTTCCTATTCACCTTTAATTGCACCAGCAGTGTAACACCCAACAGTACAAACCCAGGAGTAGGGATGTGACATTCTGCATAAAAAATCGATTTTTTATTAATCGATTATTTTTTTAGCATGAATAATCGATTAATAAATAATCGATTTTTCTTAAAAAAATAATCGATTTTTCTTAAAAAAATAATCGTTTTTTTTTATTAATCGATTTTTTCCTAATTTTTGAATGAATTTCAAAATAAACACCCTAAATATTTTATTTTTCATGGTTTTTAAATTAAAAATAAACAGAAATTATAAACACAAATTAACGTTTAAGAATAATCAAAATCGAAATTAACTTAATCTCGTTTTGATAAATGCTGAGTGTATTCCTTTTCAGTAGCACATTGCAGTATTTTTGTTGTCTTTTTAATTGTATGTAGTCTTGTGCTGCTGAATAAATTTATTTTACTTTTAAATTATAGTGTTCCATTCAAACTTGAGTTTTTGTAAAATTAACTTCTTTTATCATCCTTTTGATGTTTTACAAAAAAAAATCAATGTATCGAGTATATTAATACATCTTCAAAGAATCGGATTCAATGTATCGCATTGTAAACATCGTTGTGTATCGAATATCCCTAATAGTTCGAGGTCCGGGTTATAAAAGACCAGACATAATGTCGGGAGGTGGCAGATAAAAAATCGATTATGACTGATTTTCAATTATAAAAATAATCGATTATTAATCGATTATTTCAAATATAAAAATCGCGTAAAAAAATCGATTTTTACTTTTAAAAAAATCGATTAAAATCGATTTTTTTAATAATCGATTATTTTTTCACATCCCTACCCAGGAGCATGTTACTGGTGCAGATTTCTTTTAGAGCTCTGTATTCCTTTCTTGCATAGTTTTATTGTGTAGTATACAAATATAGTATTGTAATACATCTTAGTGTTTTGTTTTTAGCCATAATACAAAGTTAAGACAAGTTAGGCCATGGACCATGGTACAATCAAACCAAAATAATCTTGATTTATAAGTTTCATTATATTACGATTTATACATACTAAAAAGTTATATTTAAACATGTTTTAAGTTAAAATTGTATTTTCTATTTGACCTATTTAGTAGTTATGCTAATTAGTATCTGATAAAAATAACATTGCTCTGTAGCAACACCTACAATTCGAAGCTACAAACACTGCGATGACGTAACGGTCAGGTTAGCCAGGTGACCTGGCTAACCTGAACCTGTAACTCACTTTTCGAACTCACACAGTGGTTTTCGCATCGGCGGTCGCTCTCAAATCAGTCGTGAAGCACTCATTTTATGATTTGGCATTCTGAAAAGGTGGGAGGGCTTGTAGTTTATTGCTTATCAGAGTGCCAAATCATAAAATGAGTGCTTCACGACTGATTTGAGAGCGACCGCCGATGCGAAAACCACTGTGTGAGTTCGAAAAGTGAGTTACAGAATCGCAGGGCAGGATGGGGATTCGGGAATCGTTTACGTATTGAAAATTGAAAGCATGACAACCATTTTTTGCAGCTATTTTTTTACTGGCAACCATTGATTATGAATAAGTATATTATAACAGGAAATATAAAACTTAAATTTTCTATTAGAATTTTTAAAAAAATATTGGCCGTAAATTATTAAGAATAATATACATGACAACCCTTACCAATGGCTGACTGAGAGTTGGCAACCATTTTTTTTTTCAATTCTTTGCATAATTTTTTTATATAACGTAGAATTGATTAATAAAACATCGCATATTTTTATCAGCAAATTAATTATTAAAATAAGTTAGTAATACAATTACTGGTAAAAAAAACATGAAAGTAGAAACGAGCAGTGGGATGGGAGCATTATTAATTGGGCAAATATTTCTATGATTTAGCAATTGTCTTAATTATGAGAGATAGACGTGATCAAAGTAGCGTAAACCCCGCCCAATTACGCGTCAAATATCCCAAACAATCGCTTATACAGATGATTATCATATTTGAACATGATTTATGACTCCCAAGCTCCGCCTGTCCACTGCGATTGATGATATTTGCTGGTACACTAGACAAGAATTTTAATTTTATTATCTGTTGGTGCAATGTATGAGATTAATTGTCTATTTCTATGTATGAGGTGTAGCTCTGTTATCCTTAGTCTTCAAAAGGATTAATGTATCAATCATTTAACGTTTTATTATAAATCTATTACCTATAGTTGAAAACGTGTCAAACTAACATAAAAAGAACAATACATTCAATGTAATTTGACTTGCTAAAAATAATTGTTTATTTATTGATCAATTACCTAACAACATTCCTACATTTTTTACACTTACAATTACAGATTAAGATTAATATTTTTCTTTTAATATTTTGCCCCCTAGATACTTACAGATACAGTTTTCAATACATCTTTTTTTCAAGGAAGATTTACCCACTAGCTAATAAGTCTGTTATATGTTCTCGGTTTAATGTTAAATGCATTAATGGCTTACAACAATGTCAGTGTACATTACTCTGTTGGCAAGTAGCGAATCTCAATCTTGTGGTGGTGGTGTCCCACAGCTGAAGTGTGAACGCCATCTCCGTTCAAGAAACACAAAAGGATATTTCTTTCGACGTGCTCCTTATAATAATAGAATTAATAATTGTTAATAATTATAAATAATAATCATTAGTTACATTATTAATATCCACCTCCGCTCTCGTGTACGTTCAGCGCTGAGTAACTGGTTTTGAATTCTATCTGTTCTTAGTTACCTCTCTAGAAAGGTAATTATTAACATTTATACACCAAGACCGGCTGCAAATACTTCTAAAATAAAATAAATAAGCTTAATAGGCTTTAAGCCATTAATGGAATATATAATAATAATATAATAATAAAATTTAATTTCGGCATAGTCATTAAAAATCTTTCTATCACTAAAACTGGATAAAGTCAATGTGGTATGTTTTCTAGGAGACTCAATTGTAATAAAAATATTGGTTGAAGTGCACGCTGCAACTTATAACTTAGACAGTAATAAACGGCGCTTACTAGACGCATTGTATGAAAATTTTGCTACGCGCAGAGATTTATGACAAAAAATGTCGCTAATTCAAAGTTTTGATCAAAACAAAAATGGGAAGAATAATACATTGGAACCTATTGAGAATACATGACTAATTATGAACAATATTGATGTCGCATATAACAATGATAATTGTTTTGAAGAGAACCGTATGGAATAGTTATATTTGAAATAAAACTTATACGTTAGGAACAGAATTATTTTAATTATTACAAATCGTATGATTACGGAGACGGATATAGATAGACAAACCCTAAATAGATTTTCAGTTTTCCGAGCATTTTTCGATATTAGATCAACCGGCTGTTGACACCTAAGGAATGAAACATCCTCACAGTAGTTCTTGCGTCAGGCAATCGAAAAGATAAACAAACGATAGGATAGTGGTCCTTTAGGGACCTGGTGTACCCGAATCACGACTAAGCGCTAAGTATGACTCATGTATGTCAAATTCCATTCTTTTTCCGTTCTGGACTTTCGGGGTCAGAGAACCCTTAGGTAAGGACCTAATTAAATGAATTATGCGATAGTTGAGATACCAAGAGTGTTTTGAGACTATACCTATTTCTCTATCAAATTTAATTCAGGTCTATTAAATCGTTCGCGTGTTATACTATAGATAGAATACTAATATTACAACAAAGATAAAAAATAGTATTTCTCTTCTTGCAACATAATTTAAAATAGTAAATCACACGTTTAATAATCGCAATTTTACCACAATAAATACGAAAACACGTCCATGATAAGTATTATTTTTGTGATAAGTTTCACTCGCGTTAGTTAATTAAGTTATAATTTAATGTTTTTAGAATGTAAAGAGCTACTTTTTTTATTCGGTTGAGGAACGCCTGTTGCCGTCCAGACATTGCAGACTAAAAAGACTAAAACAACTAACAACATAGTATCAATAAACCTTAGTTATTTTTATGTATTTATTGATTAGTTTAGTGTAATTTTAAGTTCTGTAATTATTTTTTTAATGTTTTTATTATTTATAACATAAGTTTGGGTTGTCTGCTTTTAGGACTAAGACCGCCCATTTACATTCTATATTTAATTTAATTTTACTCCTGTTATGTGCTATCGTGTTGTACATAAAGTTATTATTACTCTACTACTGTAAAATCGAATGATTCCAGACGGAATAATTGATCTTCAGAACGAAGATTTTAATACCTACTTGGAAGTCCTACAAATGTGGTCATGTTTTTAAAGCAGGAGATAGAATCTTCGATTTTGAGCGCAAATTATTAATCAACTTGTTTATTTCTGGTTGCGAGGGCCTGAATGTGGAATTGCTACACTACTTGCAATTTCCACCACCTAGGACATACGACCTTTTTATCTATCAATACAGATCGATATATACGACCATACAGTCTCCATGTATGGTTTAACTACTCGGCTGGCACCATGCAGCTATCCGAGGTGTTTTGCGCCCCGATTGGTATTCGAACCCTGACAGAATCCTTACGTAGCAACTTCTATGGCAATTATATCATTGAAAAGACACTGTGACCCTTGTGGGTCGTTTATCTGGGCTCCTTGGGTACAGTGCTAAAAGTAACCCCTACGGGAGAGACTCAACTCTAAGGCGTTTGAATCCCAGCTTTGCAATAACGTTATTCATTATTCGCACTTTTACTAATAATGAAGAAAACAATCCAAAGGAAACCGACGTTTGTCAGGTACAAAAGGCTGATCAACAACTTGCCAATACATTATAAAAAACTACCTGTGACCAAGACTCATCGATTAGCGCTTTTTTTTTTTAAACTCTGCTTATATTAACGAATAAAGTTGCTCAACAATAATAGCCGTATTCTAAAAATACCTAAAATAAGGACGCCTTGTACGTCAGCAAAACTTATCAACAAAACATTTGTAAAGCTTCCCTTGGATATTTATACAATTTTTTAAGAATCTGAGGATATTTTTACGCAATTCACAGCGCGAAAAATACGAGTTATCAAAAATATTTGTCAATTCTGCTGGCCTAGAAGCCATACTACCGTGGCCACCAAGTATCTTTTCAGACCTATTAAGTATCTATTGTAAAAAATTGTCTTAAAAACACAATAAATATTGCGTATCTAAAATAATTGAATAAATACGTATTTTGGATATTATATAGTATTCAACGAAGAGCGATCCGAATCGTCAACGACCAATCACTTTCCGTGCGGCTTGATCCCTTGGCGTTGTGTAGAGATGTGGGGTCTCTCTGCATCTTCTACCGCATGGTAAAGATGGAGATTGTTCAGAGGAGTTGTTCGGTCTAATACCTGCAGTTTCATTATCGGGCGTCAAGGCAGAATACAAAATACCATCCGTATCACCTCGACGTCCGTCGTTCCACAACTGATCTTTTCTAAGGCAGTTATTGCCGCGCACCACCACTATGTGGAACCAGTTGCCCACTGAAGTATTTCCGAACCAATACGACTTAGAGTCCTCCAAGAAAAGAGTGTACCAATTCTTAAAAGGCCGGCAACGCACTTGCGAGCCTTCTGGCAACGTGGGTGTCCATGGGCGGCGGTATCACTTAACATCAGGTGAGCCTCCTGCCAGTTTGCCTTCTATTACATAAAAAAAAATATATACATATATATGTATATATATTCTTGATTGATCTTCACAGTAATCTCGCCGGGATATAAATGAATACAGAAAAATATCCAATGCGTTCTCTTTATTTTATATTTTGATAGAATTGAATGGGGGTGTTTAAAAAATAACTTGCCTAGCCAAATTAATTATATCACAGTGATGTTATAATGTATTGTTCAGCCCAATGGGTGATCAAATTAACCCTGTGCATGCAGGTGTAAATTTTACGATACCAATATGGACAATTTTTTCATAATTTGTCATAATATGTTAATGCTATAGGGCTATAAATAAAAGCCTACTATTTAATAAAATTAAATTTTATATTTATTAATAATAATAATTAAAAATTGATAAATAGAATATCAAAACAGAGTTGGTGCTTTCCTCGCTCAACGAATAAGTTTTGCATTACAACAAAAATGCTGCCAGCATTAAAGGGACACTGCCACAGGGACCAAACTTTTTCAATTTGTTTTTTACTATTACTATGTAGGTTAAGAATATTGTAAATACATTACAATACAATATTACAATTCAATATGTGTGTTGGAAATAAATATTAAATTAATACATAATATATCAAAGAAACTTTCGCAATTCCACTCACATACGCATACCTGACGATTATTCTACTAAACATATCTTCACCATAAACAAGATACTCGATAGGGAAACTTTTATCAGAAACCGAACATTACCCGAATAATTTGTAACAATTAATTAAGAGATGATTTTAAAATGTACCTACAGATAATTTTCTACGGATATTGCGTTAAGACGTGGTCGTTTAAGCCCAGCTACCAATAAAGGGTTAGTTCTCACACGAATGACGTGTTAGGCCATTGAAATCGCTCTGCTCAAGATTTTCTTGTGTAGTATATAAGCCGCTGGCTGTAAGAAAGGAAGCATCAAGTGTCCAACAATCAATAGTAATCTAATAATTATTTAAAATGAATAACATCGTATTATCACTTTCGCTTTTGGCACTTCAGGGTAAGTTAAAACAATTAATTATTAAAATTAAAGTAATTGACAATTTAAATTAATCAAAATAATTGATTAAGGAATTTCAGCTTTAATTGAATAAAATATAAGTTATTTTATCATTTTAAATAAAAAATAATTAATTAACAAAGACTTAAAAAGCTTGGCATCGTGTATTTGAATATTTTGATCTGACTAATTAAAATATAAAAATAATTTAACTAAAACTAAATTAATCCTTCTACAAATTCTATTAAACAATACCCTTTGTATATTCGCGATTTAATCGAATTTTAATTAAAGGATCGTGAATTGGAGCATATCATCAGATTAACCATGATATACCGTTATAAATTAAATACAATTATATTTAATTATTGAAGTCGGTAAGATCAGCTATAGCAAGGCACGCGAAATATGCAACATACGATGCAGATTGAATAAACATCCGACACTGCATCAAACACTCAAACGATCGAAATTTTTTATGATCTTTGTGCATACAATCGTTAAAATAATAAAATTGTTTAATTTCCGTAAGATCTCAAAACTTCTAGCTTTGTTGTAATTTTTAAAATTTACACATGGCAACTATTATGTATAAACCTAGAATTTTTGGCCCAAAGGTCTAGATAGCAGGCCATAAACTCCAAAAAAATATCTAGAATTTTTGACCAACATAACTTTATATTGGTGATTTTGAAAATTACATCCCATAAAAGTCAGACTCGATTAGGGCTAAATTGAAATTAATTAGATTTTTGTAGTGGTAGACAATATAATTCACCCTTACAGAATATAGCAATAGACGCAATTTTAAAAAATGGTGGGTTTTGTTGCTTCTCCACTTTGCTATTTTTGTATAATTATTTAATTTAATAGCGAAAAAGTCACACGAGGCGATGTGGTCGTAAAACTATATCATGGCCGCAAAGCGATTAATTCTGATATTATATAATACAATTTTTCTTAGATATTACATATCCACGAATGTTTTCCTATCTATATTAATCTTGACCCCAAATTTGTATTAGATAATCTGCAAAGAGGTCGCATTTGTTTGCAAATTCAATTTAAATGCAGTTATCGCATGCTCATGTTTGATATTAACGTGGAATGTCACGAATTATTTATATTTATTTTAATCATAATATTTAGTATTTTTATAGCATCTCCCCAGACTATAAATTAATCTATGATATTGAATATGTAGGCTCATTCGAATCATTTCTTAAAATCGTAAGTTTTTCTAAAACGTCATTTAATTAATTTTCTGTTTCAATCTTGGATAATTTGCCTATTTTTTAAAATGAAATACTAATTAAAATAAGTATTATTATTATTCATGTATTTGTCAAAAATGCTTTAAAATACACAGTTAAAGTACATTAATATTATTGATTAAACAAACAATTTTACGCTGTTTAAATTTGTTGCATTGTCAACATACTTGCTAAATAATATAATTATGAAACGGTGAAATTACATATATTTCGATTACGTTATTTTTGTATATTATGTATGTATTTCGTTGCCGTGTAAAACACACACATACATAAATATGAGAGGGTGGGATGTGCTCAATCCAGGTAAAGGTTAAAAGATTCGAAATTCTAGAGTCCTTGCACGATAAGTAAATGGAAAAAACACTGAAGAGTGAAAAATTATATCCATAGTAGCTATTTGTATTGAGTTAGCGTCCCGGAATTTACGCCTGTCCTGGAACCTAACAATAATTAAAATTAATACGTTAACAGAAAAGCTCGTAGAAGCATCTTCCATCACCCCAAGTAAAACATGTTAAATCAGTATCTCAGTTCGGCTGTATTATTTTAATTTATTATTGACACCGCCATACATAATGTTTAAACATAAATTACGTTAAATGTACACCTAAATTTATAGCCATTTATTATATGACCGTCTAATTTTAATAAACTTTATAATCAGATCACGTACGCGTATTTTCTGACTAAAATATATATGTAATTGAAATGCACGATGCAGATTATCTTAACTTATGCAATCAATAAAGATCAAACTAATTTACATTCTTGAACGATTTTGAAAATTCCCAAATATTTTGTTAATACATATAATATTATACATTATGCATGGTACAAATGATACCATCTCCGTGGCTCAGTTCGTCAAAGAGACTTGGTTATTTAAAGCCAAATACCCTGTCTTTGTTTTCCGACGAAACAATTATTGCTTCGGTGTAAAGACACAACTTACTTAGCTATAGCCAAAAAATTGAAGAGACTACAAGACTTTAGGGTCTACCAACTACTAGGAACGAAAAATATCTATCAGTTTTTGTTAGCGTAAAGTAATTTAACTTTGCCATTGTACTCTTAAATTAATTCGTGTATGGAAGTAGGTTTCTGTAACTCATAATCCTAGAGACAGAGGTACATGTAGATTGCAATGTTTCTTTAATAAAGATGAATGATATAAACGTCCATAAATTAACAACTTTTTAAACATAGCGATACGTGCTTTCTTTAAATTAAATACATTTAACGATCGCTATAAAATAAATACGTCTGGAATACAAATGATTTATAAATGGCGCCTGATGTTTTTGGTGACTATAAATAAAATCATAGTCAGAACAAGAACTTAACCAATTTACATAGATTTTTACGACATGAATTTATGTTCCTTCTATAAGGAGTTGGGTTTACAATTATTATATTATTAAATTAATCTTGAATAAGTACTGACTAATTGAGAACAATGCGATGTAAATCGAAAAGTCGTATCTAAATTTGTTTTTGGTCAGATAAAATACATTATGGTTTATTATTGGTCTTTATGGTTTTAGAAACAGATTTTAGCTTGTGTTTCTTTGATTATTTCTTCTTTGTTTCTTAATCTTAAAATAATTTGTTCGTTTAACATATAAAATATATTTTAAAGACAAACTATGAGAACAGGGCATGAACTCATAACCGTAATACGAGTCAAAGCTTTAAAAACCTTATATTTTTTATCTTATCGCAATCAAACAAAGCACTATTTCTTACCTGTCAATCTTTGGTAATTATCATCTTCAAAAACATTTCTTACTAGATCTGAAAATACAAATGTGGCATTACGATAGTTAAATTCGTTTCAGTGTCTATGGTTCTGGGTTGGGGGTACCGCGCCTCTGACCAACGTCGTTGGGCCGTACTCCATCCAGCATGCGGAGGTCGCCAACAATCACCCATCGCTATATCAGCTCGTCAGGCTATTCCTATTTCGATCCCCGCTATGGAATTAATTGGCTACCAGAATCCCCTGCCTGGTCCCTTGACTACTACTAACAATGGTCATTCCGGTAAGTATGATAATATAACAAATTCCTGAATATTTGATAATTAAGTTGTCGAAGTCATTGTCGATTTGCCCTAAATGGACCCTTCCAATTTCAGTCGCTCTAGCCATCCCGAAATATTCATCCGAAGAGGAAAAGAAAGGTTTTCGTCTTCCATACATTTTCGGGGGTCCCCTTGACAACGAATATGAAATTGAGGGTCTTCACTTCCACTGGGGTGACAAGAACAACCGTGGTTCGGAACATACACTCAATGATATGCGTCTGCCTTTGGAAATGCACATTATCCACAGAAACAAGAAATACAGAAGTCTCGCGGAAGCTCTCCAGCACCCAGACGGTCTTTGCGTTCTTGCTTTCTTCTACCAGGTCAGAATGTTTAAATAATATACCTACAATATATGGAATAACAAAATTTAACATCTAGATGCATGAAAATGCTTGATATTTGATGATAATTTATGACGACAATAAATAATGCTTTTCTCAATTTCTTGTAGGTCGTGGAATTCGACGCTAAACTGTTAACTCCCATCGTCAAGAACTTATCTTCTATCGAGAACTACAACACCAGTATGCAACTTCCACACACTTTCTCGCTCTCTTCTATTCTTTCTGGACTTGACACTGAACGTTTCTACACATACAAGGGATCCCTTACCACTCCACCCTGCGCCGAGGCCGTCACATGGGTTGTATTCTCCGACTACCTGCCAATTTCTGTATTCCAGGTAATAATCAAATTACAAAATTCTTAATCTTATTATCAGTTATATCCAAGAGGAGTATCAATGTTTGATTCTTTTCAGATGGACAATTTCCGTGGCCTGCTCTCCAACCTGAACTTGCCCCTTGTTGACAACTTCAGACAACTGCAACCACTATTTGGTCGTCGTATCTTTGTTCGTATTACTTCAAAGAACCCTAAATTCAAGAAGACCAAGCTCCACTACTCAAAGTGGGACTGGGTTGGCCACAAGAAAGCAGAAAATGACGTCAACGAATTCGATGACTAAATTTAGCCTATTCTTTGACAAATCTTTAAAATAATTAACCTACCACCGCTCCTCGTTTTTACGGGTACTCACGATTATATACTTTTATGTTATGTGATTAATGGTTGTGTGCACTGTGTCATATTATATATGTGCAATCAGTATTATTAAGTTAATGTAAATAAATACATAAATAATTATATAATATTTTTATTTTATAACCAATACATTTTAAGCTTACAAGTAATTATGTAGAGTAGTTTTCAGCTCCAAACATAGACTGAAAAGAAAAGATACTTTGGATAGATAAATAAAAAATAATGTTTGTTACACAATTAATATATAAAATACACACCATGCCAAGCACACTCTAATAAGATGTAAATAAAACTCATTTCAATTGTCCATACACTATATTAAAATTTCAACAATCTATACAATGTGATTAAATACTTAGGCATTGCACCAAAAAATGAATAAATTATATTTCATATAATACTCTGCGGAATGTATTAACATAATGGTGATGACAAAATTGCACACAGGAATCAAAATGTTAAATGCAAATTTTAAAACAAATTAGATGTTAGTTGGTATCCATATTTTTGGCCATTTATGTGCCGTCTGATTAGGGTCAGACACACCATGCTATAGCATTAACACTCTTAGCGTACCAAATCTTCTGGGTTGAACATGCCCTGTAAAAAACATAATTGGTAAATTATAAAATTCAGATTCCTCTGACATGACAAATTTATTTCACAAAACACTGTTTAATATAAACACTGACAATGTTTATGATCATGTTGAATAAAAATATAAAACAATTTTTTTATTAAACACTATTGTAACAATGGCCATCTTAAAATAACACCAGTCAATGAGTAATTTAAACATTTATACAGACATGTGATTAAATTTTAAGTAATCTGATACAATTACTGTGTACATAATAATTTACAAAAATAATGTAGTTGCTTATTTAGAAGTATAATAAACAAAATTGAAAACCCCTCCTCAGAAATGTTGAATTGTTAAATTGATAAAAGGAAGTTTGTAATATTTGAAAGAAATACACTTAGAGCTACATTTATTTTATAGATGTTACTAATTTGGCAGCACCCACATACCTTTGCACGACGTAAAATGGAGTCCTTGCTTGCATCATAGGGGTGGTCCTTGGAGGGAATCTCCAGTATGGATGGCACTGGGGCCGTGTGCGCATCAATTACATGCCTGATCAGTTCCGCAATATTCTGATTGATGAGGATGATATCAATATCATCCCGCTTTGTGAATCTTTTGAAACAGTCCTCGACTTCACTGACAGGTGTGTCTGAAATTATGTTTAATTTCATGTATTTTTGTTCTGCTAAAATTAATGCTGCTATTCTTGTTATTTAGAATTGTTTATATTAGTTTACCTAAGCTAGCTGCATACAGTACTAAGAAAATGTATAGATTCTTTCAAAAAGTACTTACTTTTGTCAACTACCATGAAATTGGGGTGTCTGTTCTTGTTGATTTCGCCAATACCTCCCAAGAGGAATCCGACACAAGTGTCCTGAAAGATTAGTGAAGAAATGGATACACAAAGAATTCGCAGTATAAAAACAAATGGCGATAGTAAGCTTTAAAATTGAAAAGGTTTAGAACAAATGGTTTCCTATTACCTCATCACCAATAACGGCGATTAGTTTTCCCTTTACAGCAGCTTGCAGAGCCATTTTTATGGAAAACAATTATTTTTTTGGTAAAATTATTGAAATCAAGAACTGTCACACAAAATTCATCACCTGACTACGGATTTTATTTAGATTGGTAGGACTGAAATTTTAATGAAAGCTGTTCTTTAAATGTTGCTAGCCACAAAATAAAATCAAATTTATCATTCTCTATCTCTCAACTCTCCCCACTTTATCTGTGGACTGTGTACTTGTACTTTCCTGATTCTGGCGGGAACCTTGAAAAAGCGCGGTTGACTTTAAACTTTAAGTTTAATTTTTTTTCTATAAATAGTGATTTTTTTATAGTTAAAGTGAATTGAAATATTGCTATTAGCTGCTGAAAAGCACAATAGCAATGGAGGTAAACGAGGGGGGCGGGTCTCACCCGCCCGCCTCAATAAAACGGCCAAGGCCTACGGATGAAGGAGGAGGCGTAGGCTCTGGACGATCGGACTGCGGCGATGAGCGAGATGCGTATCTGCCTTATTACAAACCGAACTATAAAAGACTTTATCCGGAAAACTCAACCAACACAGACTTTAAAGTGTATGTGGAATCCACAAACGACGATAGATTGGGCAACAAGAGCCCTATATATTTAAATCATATTTTCGCAATGGACATAAAAGGTGTGACGGGTATTCAGAGGGTGAATGCCAATAAAATAAAGTAATATTCAAGCAGTATAATACTGCCAATAATTTTATTAATAATACCACTTTCCTGACAAAATATGACATGAAGGCGTTCATACCGGCAGCGCAAATTGAATAAACCGGCATCATTAGATTTGTTCCAGCGAATATCTCTAACAAAGAACTTTATTCTAGACTAACTTCAATTTATGAAATAGTAGCAATAAGAAGGTTTTCAAAGAAGGTAGGACAAGAGCGCATTGCATTGCAAACTGTAAGCATCACTTTCTTATCTAATGTACTGCCTAATTAGTCTAGACTAACTTCAATTTATGAAATAGTAGCAATAAGAAGGTTTTCAAAGAAGGTAGGACAAGAGCGCATTGCATTGCAAACTGTAAGCATCACTTTCTTATCTAATGTACTGCCTAATAATGTACAATACGATCTATTCTCGTACAGAGTTTTGGAATACATTCCACCTTTACTACAGTGCTATAGGTGTTTTAAATTTAATCATTCAGCTAAGATTTGTAATGGGAAACAAAGATGTAGTATTTGCGGAGGTGAACACTTGTATAAGCAATGTGATAAACCAACTGAGATCAGCTGCATAAATTGTAGTGGGCCTCATCTTGCGATTTCTAGATTATGTCCTATCAAAATAAAGAAGATTAGTGAAAAGAAAAGCAACATTTCTTATGCAAGTGTTGCCTTAACAAAACAAGTTACCACCAATGAAACAGATTTCCCTCCACTCCCTCCACCAAAACCACAACTTGTAAATAGTAATGTTATTGTAAATAAGTCTGTAAATATCTCTGCAAATAAGTCGGATGTAAATAAAGTTAAAAAAGTCCCTTCTAAGGACCTTAAAAATCAAATAATTTCCAACAACGATGTACTTATGGCCCTAGTGCAGACGTTGGTGGAATTAGCCAATAAAGATGACAGTACACCCACGAATATGAAAACTATAAAAGATGCATTATTAAAAAAATTAACATAATGGATTGTGTAGGGCCTAGTTCTACACAATCCAAGCTACGTATTGTTCAGTTTAATATTCAAAGTGCAAATAGTAAAAAACCTTTATTAATTCAATTTTTAAAACAACAAAATATTGATATTTGCCTTCTAAATGAGACATGGTTTAAAGATAATAATTTTAAAATACCAGGATATAATATTTACAACAAAAATTCAAACAATGCACATAATGGAGTTGCAATACTAATAAAACCATACCTTAAGTATAATATATTAAATACTAGATTTTATGAAGATATACAAACAGTTGGTGTATCTGTATCAACTGGACATAGTAGTTTAACAATTCTCTGTATATACTGTCCACCTTCAAGTGGGCGTATACGATTTAATAGACTCCGTTACATTATTAATGATCTACCAAAGCCCATATTTATGAGTGGTGACTTTAATGCTCATCATATTGCATTTGGTTGTCAGTCAACCAAAGGTAGAGGTCAGGAGTTATTTAATTTAATTGATGACTTAGATTTGTGTATTTTAAATGATGGTAGACCTACAACCTTAAATCGCCCTAGACAAACTGCTTCTGCCATTGATGTAAGCTTCATTAGTGGCAGCCTGCACCACTATGTGAATGGTCTGTACATGATGATACAATGGGAAGTTACCATTATCCAACAATAACAGAGATTTCATAAGATATGATAAATATCATCTCAATTCCCCTGTAGATAGGTTTATATATAAAAGAGCTGACTGGGAAACATACACAGATCTTTCAAAAACAATGTTTAATGATTTGATACTTCAATCACATGATCCTATTTCAACATATAATAATTTCTGTTCTCATTTAGATACTTTTAAAGAAATGTCAATTCCAAAGCTCACTAAAACAAACACTTTCATTAGCAGACCACCATCTCCTTGGTGGAATTGTATATGTGAAGAAAGTGTTATTGCTTCATAAATGCACTAAAACTATATAGAAAAGAACCTACTATTGAAAATTATATTAATTACAAAAGAAAAGATGCCCAGAAAAGAGAACAATTTCCGAACAGAAAATAATTGGATGGAATAACTTATGTAACACTTTTAATAGAAATACTCACATAAGTAAAATTTGGAATTTATTAAAAATGTTCAAAGGCATAAGACCTAAGAATAAATCATATACAGATGTGTTTATATCTCCACTCTTGGATAAATTATCAGATAATAGCAACTTAATTGAAGTAGATCAACTGAACATTGTTTTTTCAAAATCCCAAATTCAAAATTTTTACTGGATCCATTTTCATGGTCTGAATTTTTAACAAGTTTGCACTCTAGACGAAATACAACTCCTGGCTTAGATGATTATCCTTACATTGTAATTAAAAACTTAGATGTTTCTGCCCAAAAGTTGTTTCTTAACATCCTCAATTTGCTTTGGAGTAATAAATCTATTCCACAGTCATGGAAAACACAATGTGTTGTCCCAATACTTAAGCCCGACAAATGTTCTGAGTTTGCTAGTTCTTATAGACCAATTTCCTTGTCATCCTGCCTTGGTAAAATATTCGAAAATATGGTGAAAGTCCGCCTCGATTGGTATGTTGAATCTAAGTTTTCATTCCAATAACAATTTGGCAGAGGCAGACAGTTTCACCTCTTTAATATCTGACCTGAAAAATGCAAAACATAGAAAATTAAAACACAGTTTGCGTATTCCTAGACGTTCAAAGTGCTTTTGACAGTGTTGATCCTGGTATACTAGTTCAAATCATGTTAAGTTGGGTGTGCCCGGGCACTTATGTAAGTGGATTTTTAATTTTTTGAACAACAGAACAATCTATGCTAGGCATAACAATATTCTATATGGACCCAAATGTGCCTCGAGAGGGTACAATGCAGGGTGCCACACTATCTCCATTACTGTACAATATATACACAAGTGAAATTTGTAAATATGTAAATAATAGGAATGTAAATATTTTACAATTTGCTGATGACATTGTATTATACAGTAGTAATTACAACTTAGAGATTGCAATAGATAATATGAACAAATCCTTATTTCAACTATTACAATATTATAATAATCGTTTCCATTTAAAAATTAACCCATCTAAAAGTAGTGTTATGTTTTTTGGCAATGAAGCCTCAAATTCAAATATTATTTACAATAATGAAATTATAAATAGAGTCACTTCAAAGAAATTTTTAGGAATAATACTAGACCCAAAACTAACTTTTGAAGAACATATTAAATATATATCCAAAAATGCTCACAGAGGACTAAATGTTATCAGATCACTTTGTGGTGTAACATGGGGTGCAGACCCAAAAATATTGTCAATATTGTATAAAAAGTATTGTTAGAAGTCACTTAGATTATAGCTCACTCGCTTATATGAATAGTTCTCATGTAAATAAATTAGAATATTGCAGAATAAGGCTTTAAGAAAATTCTGGTGCTATGTGCTCAACTCCCATAAGGGCCATGGAAGTTGAGACAAAAGTGATGCCTTTGATTTTGAGGCGAATCTTACTTGCTGAAAGATACTGTCTCAAATTAATAGCATCAAACAACACTCAAGTAATAAACAAAATTGTACCTTATATAGATAGATCCCCAAGAATACCATTAACAACAGCACAAGGTCTAATATGTGGTAATTCTCCAACAATGTCCGATATATTTCTGGAAATAGACAATAGTTTTTCTAAAGTTAGAAAACAGTGTCCATGGCCATGTTACTTTTTCTCTTATCAGTGTATTTCACATCCAATTAATGTAGTCCAACAGACAATAAACAAAATTCGGAAATGCTTCAATTTTTGGAGGAAAATACAATGTACTATGTTATCTACACTGATGGGAGCAAAGCAAGTGATTATGTACATGCTGCTCTATAGATCCACAAGTAAAATTTTCTTCAAGTTTTATTCTGCATGAACCCTGCTCTATATTTACGGCAGAGGCATATGCAGTGTATCAGGCATTAATGCGTATTCGCGAAATCAATAATATTAAATATTTTTTAATAATTTCTGATTCCTTGAGTTTGATAACAGCTTTAACTACCCTTACAGTTAAATTCAAGTCTAATTATATCCTTTACTTCATTAAACAAATAATTCAACAATATCACAATAACAATATTCAAATTTTCTTTCTATGGGTACCTTCCCACAAAGGTATCTCTGGCAATGAAATGGCTGATAAAACTGCATATGAAGGAATTAATGCTGTTGACGTTAGAAATACAATGAATGTTCCTATGTCCGATTACTTGCAATGTATTGACCAGAATATTCAAAATTTGTGGTTAGAAATGTGGAAGAAAGATCAAGATACGAAAGGAAAATGGTATGGAAGCATACAAGTAGACTTACCTGCAAGACCTTGGTAATCATCGTATGCAAGATGCTCCTCGAGACTTTATTACTATCATAAATAGACTGCGTTTTGGTCATAATACTGCACCGTCACACCTTGCTCGACTCGGCAATCGGCATTATTGCGAATAAAACATGTTCACAATTCACATTGTAATTCAAGTGATGGAACCAGTGTTGCCAACTCGATCTCTTAGGTAGGTGCTAAATGACATCTCAAATAGTTCTAGATTGATAAAAAATATCAAAAATAGTGCTATTTTTTTTAGACATGAAAAAAATAATTTAATTTTGGTTTAATATGATAATAATTATTTAAAACTACATCCAATCATCTTCACTATCGTCTGTCTATACTGCTGATTCTGCTTCTCTTTGTACTGACGCTGAAGCCGCCGTGGAAGTGGAAGGTTCTTCGCTGTCAGACTTTTTCAATTTAAATGAATACATATCTTTTTTGCCAAGAACTTCTTGGGGAATTTCATATGTATGGCAATTTTTATTTAAGTTTTTGAGCCCTGTTCGGATATGAAGAAGTGAATTCAAAGTGTCCAAATTCATTTTATTCCTCAGTTTATTTTTTAAAAAGTTTATTGAACTGAACACCCTCTCAACATCGGTGTTAGAATGCGGCAATGATACTTGATAGTAATATAAATGCCAATGAAACTAGTTCATTATAGTGATTTTCGTTGTTTGCATCTTTATATTGATATACCTCTACCCCTAACATAGATTAGACAGATAAGGGCGCGTTCGATTTAAAAATTATAGTAGCGTTTTATTACTACACCTTGCGTGGCTGCGTTTTGTTACAGCAACCAGAGAAATCCGAATGATGGCTGTTTAGTGCTAAATTTAGTGCTACGTGCTGAATGTTAAATGACAGTGATTGAATTGCGAAAATAGTGCTAAATCTAGCACCGAAAGTGCTAAGTTGGCAACACTGGATGGAACTGTGGAACACATTATCTTCGATTGTCAAAAATTTTGATCGACAGACTAGTGTTGGCCAGTGAACTTAGTGATGTTGAAAATAAGTGTGATTTATTGTCCCGCCCGCCGCCTTTAAAAGAATTGTTACAAGACGAACTTACTTATAAGCACATCTACAATTACATAAAAAATACAATAAAAACAATTTAATGGAATGTGCTCATAGGCGTAACATTACGTCTATGAAAATTAAGAGTTGGCCTAAAGGTTGTACATGCCAGGTCATAAAATCCCAAAAAAAAAAAAAAAAATTGTACTTTCCTGACAATGATGTTTTGACTTACGGTCTTGTAATTTGTTGTTGTAAGTTGTTTCAATGTGTTGCTTGAAACACTATCTTTTATAAAAATATGATTTTTAATTAAATACATAGTTTAAGAAAAATACTGACAAATATATAAAGCTACAAATAATAATGCTGAATATACAACACTACGGAAGTAGTTCGGAAGACGAAGAAACTGATCCCGAAAGTTTACAACAACATAGCAATGAAAAGTTATTGACTCATTTGAAACCTGTCGATTCCAATTTATCTCTCGCTAAGAAAATGCAAATATGTGCTGCTCCTGTAGTTATGCCCACAGTGTGTATATACTATACATATCACCGTTCTAGGCAAGAATTCTCTTTAATAACTTTTACAAATATTTTTTCAGAATAATGACGACAGCAGGGTACTTATACAAAAAAACCAGGAATTAACGCATAATCCAAAGTATGAAGAACTGTTTGCTCCTGAATATGGTCCAGAAAATCCTTTTCAAACACAACAAATGAGAGCAAATAAGAACATTTTATCAGGTTATGTTGAAAAGGCACACATTAGTGAATTTCAGTTTGAAAACCAACGGAGAACATTTACAAGCTATGGATATGCAGTGGATCCATCTACTGAGCCCTCAACAGATAGTGGTAAAGGTGATGGAATTGTTGGTAAGTTTGAGTTTAATTGATTGTAAATAATCTATCATATTATAATTATTTTATCTTTATTAGTAATGATTATTAAAGATAATCTAATATACAGTACCTTTAACGCTAGCAGCATTTCCTAGCTGTATTGCGATACTTATTTGTTAAGCGAGGGAGTGCTCTTAAAGGGATATTTAAAAATATAACAAAAGTATATTATTGTATACAGAATATGTTAATATAGAAAAATTTAAGGTTTAAAATTATATTTATGTCCAATAATTATATAATTGTGGAAACAAGCTATGTCCCCTTGTGTCTTTCCAATAGCAACTGTATATTTACAGTACGGTAATTATGTTTTAGTCATTCTGTTTCTTGATTTGTAGTGTCTGAAACTGTTGCACCTCCAGAAGAGGCTGAAGGAAAATCAGTGTTTGAAACAATTAAGAAGAAAGATAAAAAGAAAAGGAATAAAAATGATGATCCTGCAGACATAGTGGGATTTCTAGGCCCTTGGGGAGGTTATGTTGGTGAGAAAAGGTATGTAGACATGTACAAAATATATTTCCTATTATATTATAATTATTGTTGAGATAGAAAACTAGCTCAATGAATGTTGACAATGTTTTGCATGCATTATAGCATACATGGTCACAGATTCTTTAGACTTTTAGTTAAAATGCAATTGCAAATGCAATTTATTGTATATCTTAGATAGCTACTGAGATTTAACAAAAAAATATATATTAATTTCTATAGTTTCCAAGTAATTTTTATGAAATACTAGCAAACTCGGCGAACTCCGTTTCGCCACCAGATGGCTTCGTTTTATGTAACATTTCGTTTGGTGATCCCGCTTTTCTGTTGAAATTTTTCCTGAAATTTCTTTGCTATAAACCTCACGGAGCCCGAGACCTTTCCAACGAATGCAAAACCGACGAAATCGGTTCGTGCGTTCTGGAGTTATAGCGTCAGGAAGGAAAACCCGACTTATTTTTATATAGTAGATTTCCTATCTGTATACAATTTTCATAAATTGATTCAATCAATCAGTAAAATGGATTGGGGTGTATAATATTTTCAGAATAATGAAACCAGAAGGCGAAGAGGCCAAAGAACTAGAAGAAATTGTAGCAAAGAGGCAAAAGAAAGGCAAAGTTGATGATGATAAACCATTGGAGGAGAAATCTATATTCCATAGTATGTATTAAGAGCCACTTTACAGAAATTGTACTTTGCACATATTAATATTTGTTGTATTCTAATGCTTAGGCTTCACATAATCTGGCTCAGAATTACTTTGAATCTCATATGAAAACAGTATTCGATGTGAATGTATAGTGTATACTGAAGCATGGGCTTGGCGCAGTTATCACAAAAATTATTGAACAATTTGTTAGATATATAGAAATTCTAAAAATGTATACAAAATCGCTTCAATTATATTTAGAAAAAAAACAAAAATATCCTTGTATAAATATATATTAATCATATTTTCAGTTGACAAAGCTACAGACTACCAAGGCAGGTCGTGGTTGGAGGTTCCTCGCAGTGAAACACAGTTACGTAGTGATACCCCTCCGGCCAAATGCTTCTTGCCCAAGGTAAAATTTTATTAAAACGAAGATCATAATTTAAACGATTTTTATTACTTTGTCAAACTATCGTTTTAGACTCTTACAAACTATTTTTGAGAGAATTAAGACCAAGAGTTAGCCACGGCTAAGTCTTAGCTTTGAATGGGAGGGTAATTTCAAACAACACCTAAGCCACTATTTTGAGTGGTGTTCAAATTCATTTTTTTAATGAAGTTAAACGTCTTGAAAATAATCTGTCAGCATCTCACTGCCTACATTTAAATGGCTCTTAGTTAAACATATTCAGTGGTTTTTTAATTTTATGTAATAAATTAATATTAAAATAAATTTGTTTGAAGCCTTTTCTTATAGGGCCTACAGCTTTCCAATTTCCAATATTTGGCCTAAAAAAAAATCCTTCAACTTTATAATGTGTGTAGATTTTCAGCTATTTTGTATTTCATACTCTGTATATGTGTCACAATAATGCATTGTATATGTTAATTGGTTTGTTGAATAATGAGTTTTGTTTATTTGATTTACTCCTATAAAAATTCCTTGCACAAATCAAACAATAATTCCATATCCATAAATTTAGCTATAGTTGAATAAAAATAACAAAATACATATCTTATTTATTTCAGTCACACATATTCACATGGAAAGGTCACACAAAGGGCGTGGCAGCTGTGCGATGGTTTCCCAATACGGCACATCTCATGCTGTCCGCTGGGATGGATTGCAGGGTCAAGGTAAAAGTTACACTAATTTGTAATGATTTTATATGACATTATTTTTATTATACTAATACATATAGGTAAATGAAAAAAAAACAGATCATAAATTAAATCAGTCTGATTGCTCTGACTAATGTGCTCCGTCTCTTTCTGTCAAATTCTGTAAACTTTGTAATGAAAAGAGACAACTATACGTTCATATGACCTTTAAGTTGACCGAAAGTTTAGTATTAAAGTATTTGCTAATTTGATTAATTATGTTTATTGTTGGTAATTTTAATTGTTGCAGATATGGGAGGTGTACGGGGATCGTCGGTGCGTTCGCACGTATTTCGGCCATCGACAAGCCGTCAGGGACGTCAACTTTAACAACGCGGGAAGTCATTTCGTCTCTGCTGGTAACCATTTCTTTATATATTACTAGCTGACCCGCCAAACAATGTTTTTCTATGTATATTATTTCTAGGAAAAAAAATTTTAGTTCAATAAAAATAACTATCTACTATTATAAAAATAGGGGTTGATCGTAGAGGGATGACAATTAAGGCTTGTATGTATTTTTGTATGCTGTATCATAAAAAAATAAAAACAAAAATGTTTGTCTAAAAAATAAAAAAATATTTTTTGGACTGAACACCCCTTATCACTTAGGAGTTAGAGAGATAGATAGTAGCCGATTCTCAGACTTACTGAATATGCATTTAAAAAATCATAAGAATCGGTCGAGCCGTTTCGGAGGAGTATGGGAACGAACATTGTGAATTGTGATACGAGATTAACTTATTATTATTAACTCGTGGTACTTCTGTATCTGTTTTATTGACAAATCAGGTCATTTGTACCCGACACGCCCATTTTTGTGTCTAACAGCCTGGCCACGGGACATTCGCCGACGCGAATATTTGCGCGGTGCGAACCGCGATGCGTCTAGCGACTGAAATAAACTCATAGCAATGTACTAATCAAGCCACGCGCAACGGCGACCAGCGATGCGACCGGCGAAATGTACCGAGCGAATCGCGCGGGCGACTGACGTCGCGACGGGCGAGCGAAACAAATGCATGAATCAGTACGGTGCAAGCCACGGAGTCGAGCGGCAGTCGCGGCGAATAGAGAAGGGAATAAATAAGTTTAGTCGTGGTCGCGGCGAAAAATGAATACAGAGTTTTTTGTTACTGAAATACTGGCTAGACCAGCTATTTGGAAGTCTGGCCATCCACAGCATTAATTTAATATACCTTAATCTCAAAAACAATTTTTCAGCGGAACTTAAAATTCTATTTGCATTAACTTTTTTCTCCAATTCTGGTTGAATATTCATAAGAATATAATTGAAGGTTTCAATACTCATTCTGGTATACTCAAAAAAATAATTCTGGATATATTCTGAATTTCTCATACTTCTTGTGGAATTCTCCACAATTTCTCCAAATATTAGGTCTTGCACCAAAAGCTATTACTTTCCAAGCAATATCGAGATGATTTCGATAAAGACATTTCGCTGTCGAACTTCCTTACTGGTCGCGGCGGCAAACGTGACTGGTCCGTGGCCTGCAAACGGCCCCGCGCGAATGGTCGCCTCGCCTCCCGCATCGCAGTTCGCACCGCCGATCCCCGTGGCCAGGCCGTAAGGTTTCTTATGTACACAGCCTCAAATTTAAAGAATTTTTTTAATTGATACTATTAAACTGCCAGAATACAATAATGTGTTAATATGATTTGTTTCTCAGCGTACGACCGATATATTAAACTATGGGACAGCGAGACGGGCGCGTGTGTGTCCCGGTTTACGTCACGCAAAGTGCCCTACTGTGCCAAATTCCATCCCGATGAAGATAAACAGCATCTCTTCGTGGCTGGTACTTCGGATAAGAAGATTATATGTGTGAGTCTGCTTTTTTTTTTTTTTTTTTTTTTATAGAACGGGGGCAAACGGGCAGGAGGCTCACCTGATGTTAAGTGATACCGCCGCCCATGGACACTCTCAATGCCAGAGGGCTCGCGAGTGCGTTGCCGGCCTTTTAAAAATTGGTACGCTCTTTTCTTGAAGGACCCTAAGTCGAATTGGTTCGGGAATACTTCAGTGGGCAGCTGGTTCCACATAGTGGTGGTGCGCGGCAAAAACTGCCTTGAGAAACGCTCAGTTGTGGAACGTCGGACGTCGAGGTGATACGGGTGGAATTTCGTATTCTGCCTCGACGTCCGATGATGAAACTCAGCTGCAGGTATTAATCCGAACAACTCCTCTGAACACTCTCCATGGTAAATGCGGTAGAAGATGCAGAGTGACCCCACATCTCTACGCAACGCCAAAGGATCAAGCCGCTCGGAGAGGGATTGGTCATCAACGATTCGAACCGCTCTGCGTTGTATACGGTCAAGTGGAAGGAGCTGGTACTGGGGAGCCCCCGCCCAGAGGTGAGAGCAGTACTCCATGTGGGGCCGAATTTGCGCTTTATATAGTTGCATGCGGTGGCCCGGAGTGAAGTACCGTCTCGCCTTACTGAGCACACCAAGCTTTTTTGAGGCTAATTTAGCCTTTCCCTCCAAGTGACCGCGAAACTGAACGTCGCTCGATATGTCAACGCCAAGTATTCCAATGCTGGCTGTGGCTTTAAGAAGAGTGTTTTCGAAAAGAGGAGTAGCGACAAAGGGTGTTTTTTTAGCGGAAAACGCGCAAACTTGTGTCTTCTTGGGGTTAAATTGGACTAGGTTTTGTCTGCCCCAATCTGAGACTCCACGAAGTAGAGTTTCAACTTCAGACACAAGTTTGTTCCGGTACTCATCAACAACTGCCCGAGAAATACCTGCCCGGCCAGTGTAAAAAGTATCTCCAGTACTGTCATCCGCATAGCAATGAATGTTGCTAAGTTTCAACATATCATTGATATGCAGAAGAAATAGGGTCGGGGATAGAACACAGCCTTGTGGGACCCCAGCGTTTACGGGTTTTAGGTCGGAACATGCTCCGTCGATGACGACCTTGATGCTCCGATCGGCCAGAAAGCTGGAGATCCAATTGCGTAATTTCTCGGGAAGCCCATAGGCTGGAAGCTTCGAGAGCAGTGCTCTGTGCCACATCCGATCGAAGGCTTTCGATATGTCCAAACTAACCGCTAGCGCCTCCCCCTTGGACTCAATTGCCTCTGCCCATCTATGTGTAAGGTATACAAGAAGGTCACCAGCCGAACGACCACGACGAAAGCCGTACTGATAATCGCTAATCAGCTGGTGGCCCTCTAGATACCTCAAGAGCTGGCAATTAACAATGGATTCCATTATTTTGGAGAACAAGGAGGTTATAGCTATTGGGCGATAGTTGGACGGATCAGAGCGATCGCCTTTTTTAGGGATCGGATGTATCAAAGCGGTCTTCCAGCACTTCGGGACAGTGCCGAGCGAGTACAGGTACCGGAAAAGGCGCGTTAAGACCGGAGCCAACTCAGGAGCACAAGTACGCAGCACAATTGGGGGGGATACCATCCGGCCCGCTCGACTTATGAATGTCCAAGGAAGATAGTGCTTTGCGGACAGCACGTTGCCGGAATGTGATTTCCGGCATCGAAGAATCACACCGCGAAATGGTCGGTGGTGATCTCCCTCGGTCATCCAAAGTCGAGTTAGACGCGAAGAGACAGCCCAAAAGGTCAGCCTTCTCCTTCGCAGTGTGGGCCAGAGAGTCATCCTCCCTGTGCAGTGGCGGAATGGCGGGCTGACAAAAATTCCCTTGGACAGCTTTGGCGAGAGACCAGAAGGCTCGAGTCCCTGATGGGAGTTGGGCCAATCTCTCGCCAAATCTGGCAATGTGCTCTGACTTTGCCTTAGTGATTTCCCGTTTGAAGGACCTGGAGGCTGAGTTATATGCTTTTTTAAGTTCGCTGGTATTGGCATCACGAGATTTCGCCGCTTCCGCCCATGCCTTAAAGCATTCTCGCTTTCGACGCGAGGCCGCCTTGCAAGAACGTTTAAACCAGGGCTGAGACTTGCCACCGATCGGCACCGCAGAAAATGGAATAAAGAGTTCCATGCCCTGCAGAACCACTTCGGCGACAGAGGCGGCGACGGAATCTGGAGCTTCCGGCGAAAAGCACATAGGCCCCCAAGGGTAGGCTTGTTCGAAATAAACAGATTGTAATAAAATATTACCTATATTATACATGACAGATATCTAAAATCGATTTTAATGAAAATTAGAAGAACATAAAAAAAAAATGTGTGCGTGTACTAGGTGTACACACGTAAGAAGTGAAACTTCTTTATGACCTTATTAGAAACTATTTCTTTAAACACAGTAAATTTTGATACACTGCCTAGCATACAATTTACAAATTAATTGCTGCAAATTGCGATTAGCAAATTTCAAGTCGAAAATGTAATCCGTTGTCAAACTTCAAAGTCAAAAACATACTATATGTCATATTTTAACGCCGATAAAGAAGTTTGACTTCAAAAAGCAACATGGCGCGTAACGGAAAAATGTGACGCGTAACGCAAAAATGTTACACTAAATTTTTTTCCAACCCCGATAAAGAAGTTTCACTTCAATAAAAGAAGAATAAGAAAAGTCGAAGTAAGAAGTAGACATGGGGAGAAATTGGCTGTGCCAAAAATCTATTTGGAACTGTTTCGGAAACACACCTTTTGTATGGCAATTAAAGTTTACAATAAATTACCAAAAGAATTAAAAGATCTTGTATTACTTTGGAAAAAATGTACTATTCAATAAATGATTACTTGCGTAATTATATTAATTTAATAAAGTATGAAATGTACGATACAGATAATATAAGAATTGACTTTGACTAATAATGTAAAATTGTGCGTGGTAGAATATGCGAACGATTTACGATTGTACCTTCCTTCCACATTTTTGTACCATATATCTTGCAATAAATAAATTATTATTATTACAGTCGACTCTCGATAATTTGACACTCGTTAATTTGAATAAAATCAATGATAATTGGTCCCTTCGGTAATTTGAAGTTGGAAAAGTATTATCTTGCTCGCCAACATGCGATAATTTGAAATCCGGTCTTCCCTACTCTCGACCCAAGTGACGATTACTTTGCAGCTCTCACCACTATCGAAAATTCTTTGGAGAATGGTAAACTGAACTCACTCACTCAAAAAAAGATTACAGACTTCTTTTCGAAATAAAAATTTGTGAATAATTGTTATAATAATTGTTAATACATAATAAGAATATAGAAATAATAAGTAACAAATTTTGATCAAATTCTTATTTCCTTCAGTCGCCCCTCCCCCTCGTGGTTATTCAAGCACTTGTTATTTTGAACTCTTGATAATTTGAAATTTCCTCTGGTCCTTTGAGTTTCAAATTATCGAGAGTCGACTGTATTACTATTGAAAAAAATCCGAAGTTTGAACATTCTCGACGAATAAGAAATACGAGTGTAGGTATATCCGTTAAATATGTTTTATTGAAATTATAATTCACATTTCAGTGGGACACAAGAAGTGGGGAAATCGTCCAAGAGTACGACAGGCATTTGGGCGCGGTCAACACCATCACCTTCGTGGATGAGAACCGACGCTTCGTCACCACCTCTGATGACAAGAGTCTTAGGGTTTGGGAGTGGTGAGTTCGTTTATTTACATACAATAGTTATAAAAAAAAACAATTATATAGCAACCTTAACTCGACTAATCTCTTCTTAGCAAATTTCTGATATATGTTGCCCATTGTCCTCATTATGATTTAGTTTAATTGTACTGTATTTTCACGAAGTGGAATTAATAAAGAAAACTATGCACTAAACAACATTCAAACTTAAATTAATAAATAATAATAAAATAAATTAAAAACAAAGATTTGTCTTCTTTCACCAGGGGCTTGGTGAAATAGGGCACTTACATTCTCGTGGAAATCAATGAACAAATTCTATTCTAAAACGTTTCCAGGGACATCCCAGTAGACATGAAGTACATAGCAGACCCCACCATGCACTCGCTGCCGGCGGTGACAGTCTCGCCCAATGGCAAATGGCTGGCCTGTCAGTCCATGGACAATAAAGTGATCGTCTTCAGCGCCTTGAACAGATTCAAAATGAACCGGAAGAAGACGTTCACGGGTCACATGGTCGCCGGATATGCCTGTTCTGTGGATTTCTCGCCGGATATGAGGTATGTTATTATTTATTTATCGAATTCGCAGAAATTATTTTTAATTAAAATTCGTTTTATACGATTGTTCTGTATGATGATTTTATCAAGGTTGTATAAGTTACAATGTATCTTCTGAAGCGGATATTTATTTTTTAATTGTTTATTTATTTACATAAAAATTATAAAGGATGCAACGGGTGGCCCTATCGCTAAAAAAGTGATCGCTTCCAGGCAACTATAGTAAGGGAAAAACTAAAAAAAGAAATATGATGAATAAATTAATATAGAATTATTTAATACATAATACGTTTATATAACGCTTAATAGACGACATATTGTGAAAATTTTTTGGAAAGCCGCAATTAAGTCTGTTTTAAAAACAAAATACCTACAATTTATTAAATTTATCACTTCTTCCGTTACGCAAAATATGTAAATACTCGAATAGAACTTGTCACGTCACGGTGACATTAAAATTTAATCGTTATTTTATCGCGTAATTATTGTGGAATATTCTCGTAACCTTTCGTAGCAAATCAATATGGCATTGATTTGCTTTATACACTGTTTATAATTAAAACTTTATTACCAACAACCGAGTTCTTATAAAAAATGAGGAAATTATCGCTTTTAGTTAGTTTCTTGGTTTTCTTATTTATTATTATGTCGGCTAACGTTAACCATTCCTTTCAAACAGACTAAGTTGCAAGTGTTATAACATTTTTTGCTACACTTGTTACTTAAATAAAATATGTTTATTATGGAATATAAGATACAGGTATCACTTATTCCACGACATTAAATTTGAATGTAGACTCATCGGGAAAGAAGACAGAGGGTGTAGGCCGAGAAAAAAAGCCGGCGTAAAAAACTCTCGGTACTCTTTTAAAATACCAAATCATCATACAAAATGACTATAATATTCTACATGAGACACTAGGCTTTCAAACCTAGTCTTAGAACGAATTAGGTCTTCCGTAGATTACTTTACTAATTGGATAGTTTTAATGTCATTTTACCTAGGCAATACATATATATAACGAAGAAAGAATGTGTATTACTATGAAAACAGCGATTTAGGAAGAAATTTAATACTTGTACTATCTTGTAATTGAGATTTGTGCTCAGTATCCGCACTTACACGCCATTTGAGAAGCTCAGGTTTCGAGGAATAAAAAATAGCGATATTTTGAATATATTTTCTAACTGAATAATCAAAAAATAAATTGCTAGATTATCTATATGCTTTAATGTATAGTTTATGAGTTTTTTATGCATAGATAGGTCTTCTATTCATTTAATAAAATTTCCGTTGTCTGGTGGCAAAATAAAGAATTCACTACAAAAATTATGACTGTAGAATCTTGTCTATATGTCTAAAGATATTTTTTATACAATGTCGATTCATGAAATGTAATTAGTAATTCTTGAATCTCTTCTATCTTTGCCTATTAGTAGCTTTAAAAAAATTAAGTCCGAGAGCTGTTGGCTTATAGAAAAATTGAAATATTTTTTACTATAAATATGTTGCTTAAATTGCTGATGGAGATAGTGCGTTAGAGACTGTGTCATAGATAGTGCATATCGCAGCCAAATTTAATAAGCCGTTCAATTAACAGCCTAGCCTTTTAACTAAACAGCGTTTAACTAGCGGCCTGAAAGGTAGCGTAGCGTTTGCAACATTTAATAAACTGGCTGGCTAATGCTTAGGCCATTCGTACGAAAGAGTGACCATGTGGCAAAAATAAAAAAGATGAAACATAAGCTAAATTCACATTATTGTCACTATACTCTTCCATTGTACTAGTTGTTTTTCATTAAACTTTGGAAAACCCCATCAAACTTGGGGTTTGTCGACGCCATATGGACAGTAAGTGTTTCGTTTCGAGTTTGAGAGTGGCAGAAAGTGGAATTAAATTTAAATTAACTAAGATGCAAGTCCTCATCCTAGCTGTTTGATCAACTGGTTGAATATCTTTCAGGCCGCTAGTTACACGGCGCTGTTTAGTCAAGAGGCTAGGCTATTGATTGAACGGCTAATTAAGTTAGTTGGCTGCGACATATAGTTAATGTAAACGCCGATTTACATATAGATTATAGATACATGTGTATACAAAAAGTAGAACATAGACGATTCCGGATGGATCACGAGTTAAGATTTAAAGATTTTTTTTGAAATCTAATGCAAATGTCAGCATTATAAATTCAACATTCTATGCTAATAGACTTGCCTATACTGGTATTATAATGCCATTTGCAATGTTTTTTGTATGTCTAGTGCTTTTTATGTACATTAAAAATTAACATATAAGAAAAACAATTCAATTTATAGTATGGCTATAAGCTGTTAATTGACTAGATTTTGAGAAAAAAATGATTTCACAATCATTTTAATTTTACTAATTTATGTCGTTAATTAGCACAAATAAATTCAGAATACACGTCAATAAATGAATGCAGTATATTATTTTGTAAAAAAACAGATCCAGAAGTCTGGCCAAGGGCGAGGGTTGTTTTTTTTGCCAGAAACAATAAAAAAATTTTTTTACGAAATGAAATTAACGAATAAAAAAAAAAAAATTCTGAAGGCATATGCAGGTTTTTGGTCAATATATATATATATATATATATATATATATATTATATAGAATTACTAGCTGCCCTCCCGAACTTCGTTTCTCCTTAATGTGATTTTACTTAGCCTACTTTTTTAGTACATACCAACATAAAACATTTTGCTATGCTACCCCAGAGACTGTTCGGTTTCCTGGAATTAAAACTTTTTAGGTATTTCTTTGAATTATTCTCTATATAGAAATCAGAGTTTAAGTCAAAAGATTTTAATTAACTAATAAAAAATAGGGGTTGAACGTAGAGGGCTGAAATTTAAGGATTGTATCTTAAAAAAATAAAAACAAAAAAAATTATCTAAAAAATAAAAATTTAGGGGTGGATCACCCTTAACATATAGGGGTTTTAAAGATAAATAGTAGCCAATTCCCAGACTTACTGAATATGCACAAAAAAATTCATAAGAATCGGTCGAGCCGTTTCGGAGAAGTATGGGAACGAACATTGTGACAGAAGAATTTTATGTATTTATCCAGCCAGCCAATTTCTTATTATCCATTTTTTTTAATATATTTTATTTAGTATGATAGTTTTCATATTTATATTTTATACACGTGTCTTTTGAAGGTTAGGTCTGACCAAAAATCCAACGAACTTTTCAGCTCACCTATTCGTATGTTTCTTAAACCCTGTCTTATCTATATATATATATGTATATATATGTCTAGTCTAATCTTTTTTGCTGTTTTGGTAGTTTCCAATGTTTATCTTTCAGGTATAAAAAGTCCGATTCGATTATGTTCTTGATATGTTTTGTATCTTGACAGATAAATCGTAGATTAAAATGAAATAACGAATAAATATCTTCGTAATACTATATATTTAATTTTATTAATACATATGTTATAAACGGAACTCTTAATTTAAAATCGCCACACGGTCGAGATTTTGAGTTGCTACAGCGTAGCACGCGTTTATTATTATTTTTTTAATGTAAATGGCTCAATGAGGATCATATAATGTTAAGTGACACCGCCGCCCATAGACAATCACATTGCCAGAGGGCTCGCAAGTGCGTGCCGGCCTTTTAAGAATTTGTATGCTCTTTTCTTTCTTCTTCTTCTTTAAGGTGATAGAAGAAGCCTTGGTTAAATTTTTAAATTTACCATTAAAATGCGATTTGCAAACCACAATATGCATAGTTGTATATAGCAATGTACCGAGAGTTTTTTACGCCGGCTTTTTCTCTCGGCCTACACCCTCCGTCTTCTTTGCCGATGAGTAGGGATGCCTACAAATTCAAATTTAATGAATAAGTGATACATGTATCTTATGTTCCATAATAAACATATTTTATTTAATGAAATTTATTCAAACTCTTATCTCTGAATCCATTCTTGGATATTGGTTTTTTGTCATCAAAATGCTAATTAATAATGGCACTATCCGCAGAAGACATGCAAATTCGCGAGTGGAACCGGTGTAAACTAGTTTTAAAAGTCACGTAACTCCTCAGTGGTCACGTATGGTAATTTCGATCGTGTGACCAGCTCAAAAATTTACCCAAAAACTGGGGAAAATTATTACATATAAAATACGTCGCAGCGTCGTCTTTCAACGTTCAAAGTAGAATTCTCGTTTTCTTTATCCATGTATCGACAGGAACTCGATAAACTGAAGGTGTTGTAGGTCCATCTATGAGGTAGACTGATCAATCTCCATAAATGCACAACATGCACACAAAGGAACAATGGAAAGGTCGTTGTCGCAGGGTTGTCAAGAGAATAGTCACTCCATTAATACTTTTAAGTGATAATTGATAATTTAATTACAAAGAGCTAGTTTACGTATCAATAACATGCATAAATGTCAAAAGTGAAAAATCATTTATTCATATAGGTAACACAATGTACACTTATGAACGTCAAAAAAGAAATATACTTTAATGATTCTAATCTTACATTTACTGCCAGTTCTCAAATGAAGGGCGTAGAACGGAAGAGAAGAACTGGCAATAAACACTCTGCCACTCTTTTTAATTTAACTCGCCTTCTCTTTTATAATTTTATAGACTAAAAAACAGTGGCATTGCTGTCTTTGGTCTTAGCTTCAGACTTCTTTATCTTGGTCCAATATCCCAGGGCCGCCAGACGTCACGTATTTTCTGACGGATGAAATGTGGACAATTGAGTAGTGTTAGTATGTACTATGATCGTATGCCTACCTGCTAGCTTGGTCAAACGGCCAATTTCCAGGTATCAGGTAATCAAGGTACACAAAAACATTACTTACTTCACGTAAATTCTCATGGCTGATTTTTATATATGTTTTCGAGTGTATAGTTAAAAATAAATTGTCAATACTCCCAGACACTTTCCGTCGGCCATATTGCTTGACAGACGCTTTAAGGGTCTCAAAATAATTAGTCAACTTCACGTAAATTCTGACGCTCTATTTTTATATATGTATGTTCATCCGACAACTATTTTAAAAGCTTTGACAAGAAGACAGACCGATCCAAGGGGCCAATCATCCCCTAAACTAAATTTTAATATCTCTGTGAGTGGGAGCGCGAGAGCATTATCTACGCGCATGAGACTGAGTGAGACCGACTGCGCTGTTAAAGCCATGAAAATTACTTGAACAGATATTTTATAATTTTTAGAACTTTTGTTGACAAGTAAATTATAGCAACAAAAATAAGAAAAAAAATTGACATATAATAAATAATACTAAAGTTAGCCTACATTTTTAATTTTTTTTTTCAATTTATTAATTAGAACTAAAAAATATTTTTAAAAAATACCACTTATATTTAAATAGCAGCAATTTTTTAAATTAATTATTTATTGAAGTGAAATTTGGAAACAAAGTGGAAAAATATTTTTCAATATTTCTTAACAGTGGCTTTTAATCTTCATTATCATCATCGTTGAAATTAGATAATTCATCATCCAGCCAATCTTGAAATTGAATATCTAAATCGTGATCGTCATCATCAGCATTATCCTTATTTTCTTCCTCTGTAAAAAACAAGTTAAACAATGAAGGTCTGAAAAAACTAAAAAGATACAAGTCTGGCGGCCCTGGGATCTTGCTCTATCTGTTTTTTATTAATTTTTCCATGAATATTTTGGTGATCATCCTCATATATGCATCATCATCATTTATCTCTAAGTTTCTTCATCGTGCAAGTATGGCCCATAGTAGCCCACACCAACGGTGTACAGCCCGTGTAAAATAATGTTCACTGACTAGAATGTCTATTTTAATTGGACTTCAAAAGAATAAATATAATTTCAGCCTAAAACAACTTCCTTTTAAATATCAGTTATATTTTTATTTATAAAAAAATAATAATACAAAAGTCGGAAAATTCGATATGGCAACACTAAAACAATCAATCTACGCTATCTCTGTAACTGTTGCTAAAACCTAAATAAATGCTATCGAACGCTGAACTCTTTAGATAAAGCGATCCCAACGTTATTTTGTTAATCACACCAGAGATAGCTACAAATTGCTTATTTTTTTTAAGGTTTGCCGGATCCGGTGTAATATAGCTATTATTACTACAACAAGCGATAGTAATACAAATTTAATATCTAGTAAAATAATATTTCACTTAAAAGTTTGAGAGTGTATATTACTCGTATAGAAAGGAAATTGCTTTAACTTCTGATACAGCTGTGGCGCTAAGCCGTATCTAGCGGATTTGTTTTGATATTATCGAGGCCTTTACATAAGCCTAGTGGATTAAATTTTCCAAAATACGAAGCTATTTACGGTCTTACGTTTTTTGTCTATATAAATTAAAATAAAGAGTGGCGGAGAGTTTATTGTCAGTTCTTCTCTTCCGATCTACGCCCTTGATTTGAGAACTGGCAGTAAATGTTAAATTAGAAGCATTTAATGTATATTTCTTTTTTTCACGTTCCTAAGTGTACATTGTGTTACCTATATGAATTTATGATGTTTGACTTGACTTCACGCGGGGAGTATGGGCGTCGGTCCGTGTGGTACCATGAAATAAAATAAATAAAAATAAAATATGTTTATTATGGAACATAAGATACAGGTATGGCTTATTCCACATGAACCGCTACCCACTAAAACCAAATAGCCCCACCTGTTCGCTATGGAGATGTTCAGCAGTTTCCCTTAATCCGTGTCTCCGTCATGAGCGTCTGCTGTGTTACTGCGGGCCCAACTTCCGAGTTGCCCATCTTACCATTTGAAACCGAGTATCGTTAATAATTTTAACTTTCAACCTTGCGTTCTATAATGTATTTGGCACAGAATTTGGTTTAATTCGCTTTGTCTCAGTAAATACTTTATCACGCGTCTAAGGTAAAACAAAAGAACCGGTTTTGCTTTGACGTCAATATTATATTACGATAATCGTAATGTATAATTAAATAAGACGTGTATAAGTACTGTCAAAATGGATGAAAACAATTTATGTACTGTGATGATTTTGTAGGTGATTTTTCAGTTTTACTTATCAACGGCTTCAAATGTTATACGTTATATTAGGATCAGGTATAGAGCTATTCCTGGTTAGTATTGTTTTTGGTTTATGCAGTCTTTGTCTTTGGTTTCGTAGGTCGATGTTGGGAATGCTTTTCACTAGTGGTAAGAGACTATCACAACCTCACAGATTAAATTATTACAGTCTATTAAAGTTTTGTCGTCGATTGGCTCAAAGATTATATATACGTTTTTATTTATAAAGCATATTTTTGTTTTGGAATTGTTATCTGACAATTTGATGTGCCTGGTCACGCTGACTTGCTAAACATGACAGAAATATTGCTTAGAAAATCCTTTTTTAACGCATAAGGAACCAAGGTTTTAATTAAACAGAGCCACGCCCAGTTTTTGCACTTGCCTTGTAACGTGATCTTGACATAATAACTATACTATTATTCATAATTATACGAACATTATGCTTCGAATAAAGACAATTATAGTTATTTTCAAACGTATAGTAAGCTCATGGCTCTATCAATTAATAGTGTTCTCTCTGTCCTTTTCGAGGCTATGCACGAGTGTCTACTGTCTGCAATGACACAAGTCCCTTCTCTATTTAATATATCACAAAAATTGGGCATGTCTAACACGAATTCAACGTCGCGAGAATAGGCGCAGAACGAAAACATAGATTGTCCCATGGACTAGAAATATCGGCGTCAAGGTGTCGCCCTCATAATCAACACTAAATCAACACATGTCAAATCAAAATAATTTATTCATATAGGTAACACAATGTACACTTATGAACATCAAAAAAGAAATATAAATTAAATTCTTGTAATTTAACATTTACTGCCAGTTCTCAAAGCAAGGGCGTAGAACGGATGACAAGAACTGGCAATAAACAACAACATGACATACGTTTATTATGAAATTACTTGTTAGCAATGCATTTTTATTATTAATTAAATTTATTACAGTTTTTTTTAAACTTATATTCATATTTTTTTTATTTGGTGGTGATTAATAAAAAAAATCTTTGTAATCCTAGAGTTACTAGAACTAAAAGCTTTCTATACGTACCTACTTCTATGCTACTTTTAATGGGCCAGTGAATAGGTTGTTTCGCTCTTACAACATAATTACTAACAATGATGAAAATATAAATATATTTTACAAAAATCTTCCAACTTAACTCTTAATGAGGTTTAAGTTTCCATTTAGGTTATTATTATTTATAATTTTGTGGTAGCTTGTTTATATATAATTGATGTGTATGTGTGTAAAATTTGTCATGTCATATTTTCTTGTATAATTTTGTGCATAAACGTTTTAGAACTTATAAATA